CTCCCAGTAAGTCTGGAGTCTGGCTCCCACTGGGGAAGGAGAGGGGGCCCTGACAGGTTGCGACAGGCGCAACTGTCCAGGGCCAAGTGACTCGGGTTCGCCTAAGGGCCAACCGAAGTTGGCGCTGTCGGCATACGAACCCCTCCAATGAGAGTCACCTGGAGGGGCCCTTGCCGTCCGTCGACGACTTGGGCTTCCCCCAGTTCCCCGTTTTCCCGCGAAAGGGCAGCTGATTGCCCATACCGGAGCCCTCAGGGCGGGGCTACTTCCCAGAGGAAGAAGAACCCGACCCCTTAGACCTACCGGCCGCAGCAGCCTGGGGCGCGCTCCGGTTAGGAGCGGCACCCAGGCGCCTATGCAGGGACCCAACAAGAGCAAGTGTGTGCCGAGAGTCCTCGGCAACGTACTCCAGGCAAGCATTTAAACTGAGCAGGCAGTTGTAAATGCGCTGGTCACGGTCCGTGGGAGAACCTTCGACCAGACGGGCCGCTGCAGCCAAGTAAGTGTCTCCGTGAGACATGGAGTGCCGAGCGAGGGCGTCCAGCTGGTGCAAGGTAGCTTGCGTTACCGTAGCAGCCGGTGGGGCACGGGCACCCAACCGCTCAACATGGGCCTCCGCGGTAGGACCAGCCTCGGGAAAGGCAAGGTCATGTACCGGGAATAAACCCTTTCTCCACGACGTCGGAGGCAACGGGAGACCCCGACCGGAGGCCGCCGCGAAGGCGTTCTCCAAGGAAGGCTTGAAACCGCGCAGCAAGGTTGATGCGGGGAAAGCCGAGTCGGAAGACTCATCGTATACCTCGGAGGAACCCACAGTCGTGGATTCCCCGCGGTACCGGCCGGGGCATGTCCTCAAAGAGGTCATAAACCATGGCCACGCGGTCCTAAACCGATAGCGGGAGCAACGGTTCGGGGGAAGGACCGGTGACCACGGGAGCCGCCGCCGTACCGGTGGACCCCGCGTCCGACCCCGCGGCCACCGAAGTGGCCGGGGACGGAACAGCCAGCGGCCTATCCTGAGATAAGGCCGCCAGCTTGGAGTCCACAAGTTATGCAAGTAATGCAGCGACGGAATCCCCGGACAGCACACGGGCCGCCAAGAGATCCGCCGCTTTACCGGTGGACCCCGCGTCCGACCCCGCGGCCACCGAAGAGGCCGGGGACGGAACAGCCAGCGGCCTATCTTGCGATAAGGCCGCCAGCATGGAATCCACAAGTTTCGACAACAATGCGGCGACGGAATCCCAAGACAGCCCGAGGGCCGCAAGGGGATCCGCCGCAGCCGAGGAGGTGGTACCCGCACGGGGACCCCGACCGGACGAACCGGCCACCACAGGGGTGGAGACGGACTGTACGTACAGCCGGTACCGCTCAAAATCCGCAGGCCCCAGACCTTCGCACAGGATGCACCGGGTGTCCCCGCAAGGAACCCTGCACCGCGGGCAACGAACATGGGGATCCCGGGACGACAAAAACTTTCTGCACACCCCATAACTCCGAGGAGCAGGGGTAGAGGGGGTGGATACTGGGGACATATCCATGTCAGACATTGATTGTTTGCTATAAACAAAGAACAAAACATGGTTACAACGCACGCACCACAATGATTCACAAACGAACATTTTCACAAGAAAATAAACGAGCAATGTGAACATATAACATACACATATAACTTTTATTAAAGAAATAAGTTATGTTAACCCCCAAAACATACAAGAACAGGGGAAACGTAAAACACAACGTGCATACGCGAACCCCGCAAGTATATAGAAAAAAGGGCGGGAAAAATTTTCCGTTTGGCGGGAAAATTATAACCAAGCGTAGCTACCGCAACGCCCCATAAAAGCACAGTTTATTAGATAATAAACTATAATAAATATCACCAAATCTTCAAGGAACGCTTCAGCAGGAGAAAACACGTCTTGCTAAGCAGACGAAGGAGACAAGAGTGAAGGGTGTCACATGGCAGCTAGGTGGCTACGCACGTGCTGCATGAGGTAATTGAGATCTCTGTGGTAGATTTCGCTATAGCAGCAGTTGTGGGAGACAACAGCCTCGGTATAACAGTGGTAACGTATTACTTAATGTAATATTGATCAATCAGCCCAGCTGATGTAGCGGTGCCCGTGTGAAGTTGAGATGTCTCACTAGCGTCAGTTGGTCGGCATGAGACTGGTTGCAATTGTCTATGTAAGCCTCGGGCATAATACCTTGACGATGTAGAAACTGCTTGACTGGTTTTAAGGTACGGGTGAATAACCACAGGGTCGTAGAAATTCTCCTGGGCGAATGACGGTGCGGAGTAACGCAATGGACGCCATGCGGAAGTGAGGAGAAGTCTCCAGATAGTTTGTAGCATACTCTTGTTGAACAGGGCTGGTGGTGGTGGGAGGCGGAGACACGATGGAGGTTTTGGAAGATTGTTTTGGGTTGATGATATAGATATTGCTGTTCAATTCTGAGGAAGAGGTTAGGAGGAAGATGAGAATTGTGACAACCAAAACTGCACCAAAGATGATCCTGTTGATCAAAGATGATCCTGTTGATGTCCACATCTAAAGCCAATACTGTGGTCCATGGTGATAGCCATATCAATCCATCGAGTATTAACATCATGCATGTATGATGATCCATCGAGATGTGTCGATGCCTCTATGGTCATCAATCTTGTTGATGAAAGTATGGTGATTGTGCTGATCCAGTTAAGAATGATTATCATGTCAATTCATCGATGGGTGTTGATCTGTTGATCCATGAAGATGGTCATCTTGGGAAGAGGGATGGCAGGCAAGTCACTATGCTTGCCATCCTGTGAGGGTAAAGAAGGAAGCTCTGATGAAGGTAGGAAGATACATATGTCATCATCACTAACATGGAGCAGCAATCTCCAGAGTCAGTCACAGGAGAGGAGAGACGACTTTCTGTCAATGGTCTTGGAGTAACTTTTGCTGGGGAAACTAACCCGTACTGTCGAAATCAGGGGAGAGGAGTGGGTAGACTGGACAGTCGATGATGGGACGATAGTAGTAGAAGAATCAGAGTCCCCACGTGCACTGGGCGTGGTTGTAGTATTGGCGGGAAGATTGTCGGTCAGAATGGAATCAGATAGCATGTCTTCCTTAATTGACAAAGTAATGACAGTATACAAAGTAGATTTGAAGGACGCTTAAGCTGGCTTTTTGTCATTGGAGATAACCATCCATTTGCTTTTCTTGGCAGAGGACGGACCATGATTAACTTTCCTTCAGTGGCGCGTTGATAAACCTTGAAATGTCTTAACATGGTGACATTGCTGACTTCAGTCAGTGAGAGAGAGTATAATCTGCAGCAGTCGCAACAAACTATGGGTCAAAAGGAAAGTAGATATGTTTGCATTTTCTGCAAGACAGGCGTAATGGCTCCATAACCCAAATGGAAATGTCTGTAGCAGTTGTTAGCATGGAGACAGGAGTAATCTCACAAAAACAATATATATAGTCTCTTGTGTAATAGAATGTCCTCACACCTGAGCAAAGAGAAAAGAGAATGAGGGTGCAGGGAATGTCTGGTGATCGTGATCAGGTCGCACAGTCTGGTTGCACGGGATTGCAGTGCTGCCTGACCTAATGTGTAAGGTGGTGACCATAGAGATAATTGGGATGTGTTGGGCTGAGATGTTTTTTGAAGCTGGAAACTTTGTTTTTTGGGTCGTTTCCACACCAGGTTGAAGATGAAGGATGAAATGCATAGTGTGAAAATATCCAGATCTGAATCCAATAGATGCTGCAAAATAACTGTAATACTGTTAAAAGTGGTGTTAAACCCAACTCACTCACTTAATCCAATAGAGGATCTGTGGGACATTTTAGCCTGTCAAGTTCAACAGAGTGACCAATGTGTCAAAAATATATGTGAACTAGCTGTCGTTTTGCATGAGGAAATGGATAGAATACCTCAACATCAAGTGCAACATTTGATTCATGGAATGAGGAGGCACCTGGCAGCAGTCGTTCGTGCGCAGGGTGGTTACAACAAGTATTGATGAGTCCTGTGGTTCTTGTGTCTACTGACATCGGTTTAGGATTCCCTTGATACAGACTGGTTTGTAGCAGTTCAGTATTTAGGTGTGACAACAGTAATTTCTACTTTTTTCGTTTGTATATAATGTCTTTCTTTAAAAATGCCAACAATTCAAAGTAATGTGAGTGTTCAAATCCAAACCCTTGTTTTCTTTGTGATTGATGACTTGGGTAAGCTATAAACATCATTGGATATGGTTATCTTGAATGCATTTTCCACTTGGTTGCAAGTAAATTGGGTAATACATGAAAATTTGGGTGGTGCTTAATTAGTTTTTAGGTGTGTATTTTACGCCCTCTATTCCAAACAGAATGTTGAACATTTTTCACTTTGATCAACATGTTTAATGCAAACCTATACTACGCTGTTCAATTTTGTAAATTAGTGATACTAATTTGGGTGGGGTGTTATGTTGGTAGATTTAATTGCTGATTTATATTTGAGTGGGACCATATTGGTATTAAAATAGATCTTTCAATATTTAGTGGTATGCAAGAAAGAGTTATGTCCCTTTAACAAATGTAGTAAAATGCACATGTTATAAAAATGGATGATGCGATGAGATACGGAGCAATGTGTATTAGAACTTTGCAATTGTGATTTGTTCAATCCATGAAGAGAATGGAACATCAAGTCTACGAGTGGATAAGTCTAAATCATGCAAATCAAGAACCACAGTTTCTTGGCCTTCATGAACACTTGCCTGGTCCATATAAGGTAAATTGCAGTCATTCAAAACATACTTATTTGTCTGCTAACTCAACTGTTATGTAGATCAAACAGCAATTAATTATTACCTCAAATATATAATCATATAAAAATATTTTATAAATATCTTAGCTTCACACAAGGTACAATTATTACAAAGATTAGTAGCCTAGCAGATAGTAGAGCATATTCCCTCTTTAATATATTTGAATCTATCCCAATGTGTCACTCACCTCCACACTCTAACTGTGCACCGAACAGCTTGTACTGTTTAGTGTCGGGATCCAGCAGACACTGACGTTGTTTAAGGAAAGATCCTCGGCCAGGCACATTACAAGAAATATTGACTTTGCCCAGGTAGTCTACACTACCAGATGGAATCACACTAGGAGTGGTCTTCAGGTTGCCCGGGATACTCACAGGAGGACATATGGCGGCTGAAGGTGATATTGAAACAATTTTAGTAATAATATCACACTGTTGAAAGTAGCAATACAACAGGGAGGTAAGTAGCGTTATTGTTTGTTTTTTAATGCAGGGTCAGCAATATTTTAGCTATAGCACGGTACCCTATAAAATAATTTTCGAGTCTGGACCAAAAAGTCATAGATTAATTTAATAAGCAACATCTCACACAAGTCGTCACCAACTTGCCAGGAATGCACAGGTTGTTGAGTACCAGTTCCAACCAGGATTCTGCATCAGGGACACAGACAAGGCAGTAGTACATAAAAGATTATATCAAGAAAACAGAACCGATCACAAATACTAATTTTTCATCTTTTGTCAAATGAAATAAACTGTTTATGTTTTTCTCTGTCATTAGTCATATATACTAATTGTTTTACTTTATAATTCAATGCAAGCAGAAAGAAGTTATGAAAGATTCAAACTGGCAGTTTTGAACATCACAGTCAGGGTATGACTGTTGGCTAGTTTTAAACTTACGACTACAGGTGGGTGCTGTCCCATTCCATCGTCCATTGGCTTGGCATATGCGAAGGGACTGACCAATCAAGTTGAACCCAATGTTACAGGACATTATGATTCTATCTTCAAATCGGTAGTACTTGCGGTTGTTCAGGATGTAGCCATTGTGCAGTGGTTGGGGGTCCATGCATTGGATACCTGGTAAATATAGGTCAGAGCATGTGTCACATGTCCTATGGGTAGCCTTGAGGGCGTACAATAGGATGGTCATATTCTTCATTTTTTTATATTCATTTCTCTTTCACATGCAACATTGTCACTCATTCACTTTATGTTACTGTCACTTGAGACTCTACTGGAGGAATGACATCACAAAACAGTTTGCAGACTCAAGAGGAGAAATACTTTCACAATCCAAACCATGTATTCCAACATTGATACAGACTTTAGACAAAAGAAACACAATAACAGTTAATATTTCAATTATGACTAAACATAAATCATTATGCTTTAGTTCCTTGTTCCTATACATTTATAAAATTGATTGCAATGGTTCTACTAACGGACACATGTATGGTTGAATCTGTAAATGTCGCCTGCCATGGTGCCATCCTCATTGTTGGCGAGGGTGTAGTTGAGCTGGCCATCCATGGAGAAGAGTTGATAGCCTGAGTCACACTGACACTTGTAGCTTCCCACATCATTCACACACTCTTGGCTACAACCACCATTGTCAGCATTACATTCATTAACATCTGGAACAGATCATTATAATCAGCAATAACCACTGTTGTCTTCATCATATTTGTTGTCACTCCTCACATCATGGTCATCATAATGATGATTATCTCCATTAATATCATCATAAGGATGATTATCTCCATTAATATCATCATAATGATGATTATCTCCATTAATATCATCATAATGATGATTATCTCCATTAATATCATCATCAAAATGATTATCACTGTTAGTGTCATTAATATCATTACTACTACCACTGTCATCATGAAGCCATGATCACTATCGCTATGATGTCATAATAAATATTTATATAGTTGATATTATCATCATGAAATTTATGCTCACTAATATTGTCATCATTAATAGCATTATTACTATCTTTGTCATCATGAAGATCACTATCATTATAACGTCATAATAACCATTGATGCTGTCATCACGTAGATTATGATCACTGTTATTGTCATTAGAATTATCATTGATACTGTCATCTTTAATATCATCATCACTGTTATTATTATCATAAAGAACATACTCATGGATCAGTGTTATTGTAATTGTCATCAGGGACAGTTATTGTTGTTATTGTCACTTTAATCACGATAGTCATCAAATCCAATCTGACCACTGAATAATATCTAATGATACATAATCATACATCACACATTACCTTGAAATCTTTCATTGTGACATGAATCGTGTTGATAAAAATCACCAACTTCTACACTTACCATCACAGGTGCGTCCATTAGCATTGAGAGTGTAGCCGGGCCGACAGGAACACTTGTAAGAACCATCTGTATTCATGCAGTCCTGGTCACATAGTCCATGACATTCATCGATATCTGAAAACGTGAGAGTTTAGATGAATATACCTCACATATCACCATATTTTCAAGACTGCAATATTGACGACTTGATGAATATGATCAAAATTACTTAATTTTGGCTGCATAAATACAAATCGTAATAAATCAGTTCAGGATACAATTTTGAGACTTCATCTCAAAATTGTATCCTGAACTGATTTATTGACAAGAGTCAAAAACGATTTTCACAACAGATTAACTTCAGCCTTTTCCAATCCAACAAGTATTCGTGAATCAGCAGATAGGATAAGTTTATAGTACATGAACATTTGTTAAAACCATATCCTTCATAACCGCATCATTTATGAGTATGTAAAAGAATACAATCTAACTTGGAGTCATAAAAAATGAGCATTTCTGATTAAATGCAATGTTTTTATACTTACCTGATGCTACACAGTGCTTTAGCTTCCCTCCCTTATACAAACAGACAGTACTGGAACGAAGAAACAGTTTAAGCAGACTACAGTCTAGGCATCCACGAGTTATCCCCATTGGCCCCTACTCCTCATATTCTTCACAGGATCACATCAGACGTGGCGCCAACGGTAAAGCAGAGGAGGAGGACGGAGTCCGGGTGGGCCTATAGGTATAGCGTCAGGTAGGTATAAAACATTGCATTTAATCAGAAATGCTCACGTTTTACCTTACCTGACGCTACACAGTGCTTTATTCGACTGATGGAAGGCGGGCTTACCGTGAGAAGCGCCAGGCACCCTGAAGAAGAACAACTAAACCGTCCGGCAGGAAACCCAGCAGGTGACAGCAAGGTAGCGGCTCCTGGAACGGTAGGCAAGGGGATAAGATGTAGGTCAAGCTCTCTCAGAACAGAATGGTGGTCTGATGGTAGAGAGAACAATTACTTGACAGAGGGTAAAAGCAAGGTATTCCGTAGGCAAGGGGATAAGATGTAGGTCAAGCCCTCTCAGAACAGAATGGTGGTCTGACAGTAGAGGAAACAATGCTTGACAGAGGGTAAAAGCAAGGTATTCAGTGTCCGGCTCAAAAAGAAGGGGAAAAACGGGACCAAAACTTTACTAGGTACCGATACAACAGTACCGAGCAACCCAAGGGGAACAACACAAGGGATGGTCCTACCTTGGCAATAGGCGTCGGCCATGCTCCTCGCTCAATGGCGTCAGGGGTTGGTCAGCTGCTGGGCCAGGACAAGTGGACCAAAGCCATGCGTACCCTCGACGTCCTCCACCCGAAATGTTGTGAAGATAATGGCTGACGAAGACAGTAGTAGATGACCAGAAGCACCCCTCCATGATGGATCGGACGGAGACGTTAGCATGGAGGGTCAGCGAAGAAGACAGGGCACAGAGAGATCTCTGCAGAGCCACGGCTGGAAAGAGAGATGAACAGCCTTTGGCGCTGCTTGAAATGTTGCTGAAACACCTGAAGATAACGTCGGAGGGTTTGAACTGGGCTTAGGGCAAGCTCCAGGTCATCATCCGGGCCGACGATCTCCGAAAGAGACGTGACATGAAACTGCCGAACGGGGTTGGCTGGGCAGTTGGTTCTTGGCGATAAGGACACAACAAAGGCCAAGGTGAATCAAACCGTGAAGCTCGCTAACCCTGGCAGCTGTTGCAAGGAGAAAGCAAGTCTTCAAGGTGAGATCTTCAAATGAGGCAGACGCAAGTGGCTCATACGGAGCCCGGCGTAAATCCTGCAGAACAACATTGAGATCCCAAGCGGAACACAACTTCTTAGTCTGGTCCTCCAGTCGAAAACCTCGGACCATGGCAAAAAGGTCCGGGACTGATGACAGCCTGGAACCTCTAGCGATCTTGAGGACAGAATTGAGCGCAGAAAGATAGGTCGCAATCGTGGAACCAGCCAGGCGACGGGATTGGCAAAGGAAAACCAAAAAGTCAGCCACTTGTGAAACGATGGCCTCCACTGGAATGATGTGCCTGGACAAGCAGAAGGCCTGGAACGACCACCACTTGTCATCATTTAGGGAGCCAGTGGAGGTACGATGAGCTCTGGAAACAGCCGCCGCAGGAGCTGAAAAACCTTTAGCAATCAGTGACTTCTGGATACACGCCATACGTGCAGACTGTAACCGTTGGGGTCTGGATGTGGTTGTCTGGTGTGAGGGTTGAGCAGTAGATTTGGCCACGCCGGGTGATGCAACAAGGGTTCGCCTTCGAGCTGAAGGAGCTTGGGAAACCGAATCCGGGACAGCCAGTAACGCGCGATCAAAAGAAGATCCAGAGGACAGGTCTGGGCCGCCTTCTGAATGACCTTAGGCCAACCCTGGACAGAGCGAGGCCGTCTACCTCCCAAGCAGCTGGGTCCGGGACAGGAGACCCATACACCGGCAATTGGTAGTTCCACACCGTAGCAAAGAGATCCACGTTGGGAGTCCCCAGGCGATCGCACAAGAACCGGAAGGTTTCCGGGTGGAGCATCCACTCTGTGAGGTATGGACGATCAGGTCTTGAGAGGGAGTCGGCTAAGACAACATGGAAAGTGACGGGCTTGTATCAGAAGAGGGAGACTGTCGGCCAGATGAAACAGGCGAAAGGTCTGCTCCAGGAGATAAGCAGATCGAGTCGACCCTTGCCTGTTGATGTAATACACAACCGTGGAGTTGTCCAAGGCGACCATGAAACAACTGTTGCAGAGTATCTGATGCCAATGAGGAATCGCCCGAATGACGTTCCAAAGGAGTCCAAAGACCGAGGCGATTTCCTGGAGAAAGTGGGCGCCCAATCCTTGGAGAGAAGCTTGTCATAGAGGAACCACTCAAGACGTTTGATGGGACTAGCCACCACTCCAGGAACGGACGTAATTCTCTTGGCAGAGGAAGAAGGGGGGCCGACAGGTCTGAGCGCAGAAATGGCAGGAGAAACCGTTGAAGGGGACGCAGTTGAAGACGACCCCTGGACGTTAGATCCTGAGCTGAGGTCAACAGCCCGAGAAGACTCTGCCACTGGCAGAGATCAAGAGAGGACTCTCCTGACCCCGGATTGGATCGCCCCGAACCGATCCGGAGGAACTTGTATCAAGGAGAGGCCGTCAGAAAAAGACCACCTATGAAAGTGAGATGGCGAGAGGGAGTCAGATCCGATTTCTCCATGTTGATGATCCAACCCAACTGATGGATGAGGCGAAGAGTGAAATCACGCTGAAGAATCAAAGTGTGATTGACGCCGTGGCCGAGGATGCAGTCTTCGAGGTAGGCTTCGAACCAAAGCTGCTGAAAGCGCCTGACCTTAGAGGAGGCAGCAGTGGAATCGTCAAGAGTATGAGATCGGCGACAGAGACCAGAAGCACGGCAGGACAAAGTATCGGACGAGGCGCGGGAATGACGACCCGGTGACAGGCGGGAACTGGCAAGATCCGAGCTGACGGGGGTCAAAAGCAGGTCCTCTGGATGATGCTGAAGTAGTTGTTCCCAAAAGGCACGAATCGGTGTAGGATTCATAAAATAAAGTCTGTTATTGACAAGAGCGCGCAAACAGAGCAGCGATGATCAAATGAGCACGCAGGCTTGCAGTAGGGGCAAAGCTGATGAGGATCTTTACCCGACTTGGGCCTTTTACATAAAGCACAACGCATAGAATACATTCTACAAAATATGTAAACAGCGCATAAGTGAAACTAGCAGAAGCACATATGCAGCAAAACACGTTAGTGGACAGTATGGGAACAAAGCGCACAAACACACAAGTTTGCAACACAGTGTGAAGCGCGACTGGGAGCAATTGTAAAAAAAAATACGCCTAAATTAATAGGAATTATGTCAATAGAAAGTCATAAACCACAGAATAAATGAGAGATTCACCAATAGTTTACGAAAACTATAGCAAAAAGGTACATTAACGCGCATTATCTCATAAACACGAAATGCACTAAAATTAAAATGGCGACCAAGGCGCGAACCACACATGGGGTTTCGCAGTCAAGAAAAAATTCGAATTACAAGCTGTAAACCGCAAACAAGCGGATATTATCCAGCTGGAAAGGATATATGGGTGTAACACCACCTGAAAACGAATGTTGGAGACAATATCACAAGGTAAGTAGCACTTTTGTTCCGTACACGTCTGTCTGTCAGACGACAGAGAAGAATATATGAGGAGTAGGGGCCAAGGGGGATAACTCATGGATGCCTGGGCACGGGCTGTAGTCTGTTTAAACCTGTCTCTTTGTTCCAGTACTGTCTGTTTGTATAAGGTAGGGAAGATAAAGCACTGTGTAGCCTCAGGTGAGGTAAAACATGAGGATAAGGGGCCAAGGGAGATAACTCGTGGATGCCTAGGCACGGGCTGTAGTCTGCTTAAACTGTCTCTTCGTTCCATTACTGTCTGTTTGTATAAGTTAGGGAAGATAAAGCACTGTGTAGCCTCAGGTGAGGTAAAACATGAGGATAAGGGGCCAAGGGAGATAACTCGTGGATGCCTAGGCACGGGCTGTAGTCTGCTTAAACTGTCTCTTCGTTCCATTACTGTCTGTTTGTATAAGGTAGGGAAGATAAAGCACTGTGTAGCCTCAGGTGAGGTAAAATATGAGGATAATTTTTAAGGGGCCAAGGGAGATAACTCGTGGATGCCTAGGCACGGGCTGTAGTCTGCTTAAACTGTCTCTTCGTTCCATTACTGTCTGTTTGTATAAGGTAGGGAAGATAAAGCACTGTGTAGCCTCAGGTGAGGTAAAACATGAGGATAAGGGGCCAAGGGAGATAACTCGTGGATGCCTAGGCACGGGCTGTAGTCTGCTTAAACTGTCTCTTGGTTCCAGTACTGTCTGTTTGTATAAGGTAGGGAGGCTAAAGCACTGTGTAGCCTCAGGTCAGGTAAAACATATTTCTTTTTTAATTGATTCTGCCACAGGGATTCCATGTTGGAGCAACTCCTAAGTAAACTTTTCCTGTTGACAATTCCATGTCATTGTACCCTGACGCATGGGTTGTTGATCATAATATCAATCACTGCTTTGTCGAGGCAAGACTTAATTATTTACAGGCCCTCATATAGCTGGAATATTGATGACTGAGGCATAAAACAACAAACAAACAAATTGAAATGATTCTAGCAAGAATCATCATAAACAGTCATTATATTGGTAATGCAAGCTGAAAGAAGTTATGAAAGATTAATTACTGGCAGTTTTGAACATCACAGTCAGGGTATGACTGTTGGCTAGTTTTAAACTTACGACTACAGGTGGGTGCTGTCCCATTCCATCGTCCATTGGCTTGGCAGATGCGAAGGGACTGACCAATCAAGTTGAACCCAATGTTACAGGACATGATGATTCTATCTTCAAATCGGTAGTACTTGCGGCTGTTCAGGATGTAGCCATTGTCCAGCGGTGGGGGGTCCATGCATTGGATACCTGGTAAATATAGGTCAGAGCATGTGTCACATGTCACATGAGTAGCCTTGTGGGCCAGGTTTAATTTCCACATGGGTACAATAGGGTGGGCATATTCTTCATATTCATTTCTCTTTCACATGCAACATTGCTAAAAGTCGCTTGTTCACTTTATGTTACTGTCACTTAAGATGCTACTGAGGGAATGACATTACAAAAAAGTTTGCAGACTCAAAATGAGAAATAGTTTAACAATCCAAACCATGTCTTTCTTTTATATTTTGAAATATTTTTTTTCAAATTGATTCTGCCCCAGGGATTCCATGTTGGAGCAACTCCTAAGTAAACTTTTCCTGTCAACAATTCCATGTCATTGTACCCTGACGCATGGGTTGTTGATCATAATATCAATCACTGCTTTGTCGAGGCAAGACTTAATTATTTACAGGCCCTCATATAGCTGGAATATTGATGACTGAGGCATAAAACAACAAACAAACAAATTGAAATGATTCTGGCAAGAATCATCATAAACAGTCATTATATTGGTATCAATTCTGATAACATGGGAATAAATAAAGGATATTATATTCATGTTCATGTCATAATGACAAGAGTGTCAAAATACCAAAACTTAGGCATTAGTGTCGTAAACATAGGATGACATGAACTTGAATATAATGTTCTATATATTACCAAAGAAGATGTCCATATACAGAGACAAATTATAGTGTTTACATATTAGGATAACAAGTCGCAACAGCAGCGGAACCACAATTTGTCGAATGACGTTAACAATCTTCAGCTCCGATTTCGTTTCTAGTGTGATGTCATTCCGACCTGACGTCACAATAAGATTCGAATGACGTCAACAATACCGTTCAGATGATGGAAACAATACACTGTGTGTCGTGACGTGATATTACCGAAGGGCACATATGATTTTTATGAACCTCAATATGTTTGCCAGCGTAGGTAATAAAAGTTAAACCTATGTCAAGTCGACTGCCATTTCATTTGACTGGACAAGCTGTCACATCCAATTTCACCGACTATTGCAATCACATGGCACCTAGTGGGTAACCTAATGGATAGTACATTCAGGAAACACTAAAGTTAGTTCCACTGGATGGTACAAGTTCATCATGAGGGCAGATGCTGTTAAATAAGTGGCATAAATCTTTACTCACTTGCCCTCTTCTCAGTAACACATTCACTGACCTTCACACGCCATGGTATCCAGGTTTGTAAACATTTGGTCAGCACCACATGTGACCTGGCTGCCGGTGGTGTTGAGCCTGTAGCCGTTGTCACAAGTGACTTGGCGGAGGACTCCAAAGAAGGCCTCCTGTGTGTTGGTCAACCTTCCATGAGGGATGGGGGGTATCGGACAATTCAGTGCTGGAGAACAAAACACAAGACATAAACACATGGACAATGACTACAAGGCAGGAACTCCTCATCAATAAGTATTTAAAACACAAGGATCATTTGAAATTTGTACAATAATGTTGAAAATTGGTGGTAGTTAAATGGACACCATCCGTCCATGCAAGATGTCGTTCCCGGAGCAGATTTTGAAAAACATACAATATGTCTTCACCAAACTTCCATAGATAAGTCTGGTGGTGAACTGGTGCCTTTTGATAGTTTGGGATTTAAAAAAATAATGTTTTTCGAGTTTCAATTTCCATTAATTTATATTTTGACTGAAAATGTTTAGTGGTGAACTGGTGCCTTCTGATAGTTTGGGATTTTTACAAAAATGAATTTTTGAGTTTCCGGAGCAGTTATTGAAAACTGTATTATGTTTCTTAAACAAACTTGGCACATAGATAGATCTGGAGGTGAGCTGGTGCCTTTTGATAGTTTGGATTTTTTTAAAATGTATTTTTGAATTTCTATGGTAAAATCTTTGTCTTCTTGTCAATTGAGGGTGTAAATCGAGAACAAGGTATCATTACTTAATCCTGTTTATCACTTGCCTTCTAGTGTTTGGCACTTTGAACAGCAGCGTGAGGCCAAAAAATAGTTTGTTATATATATGTCAGTTCGTTATACACATAGTTTACTGAATTTAAAATAAAATATGCATCCTATTATAAACTAAGTAGAAACACTTTATACTTTTCTAAATATATATGGTTTCAACATATTTCTATTTAAAAAGAAATCTGGATCGGTAAACAAGCAGAACTTGCTTACGGGTTTTTTGTTTGTTGTTTAACATCTCATTCAGCAATATTCCAGCTATGTGATGGTGGTCTGAATGTAATCAAGTCTGAACCAGACAATCAAGTGACTGACATCATGAGCATTGATTTACACAACTGGGATATGATGACATACATCAACCAATTCAGCAAACAAACAAAAATATTTATTTATGGATAGGGGAAGAGACATTAGCAGTCCAAGTACTGCTGGAGGTACAGAAGAGTATGACTGCAATACATGTTGTACTTACGTATACAGGAAGGGACATAAGCAGTCCAAGTACTGCTAGAGGTACAGAAGAGTATGATTGCAATACATGTTGTACTTACGTATGCAGGAAGGAACAGAAGCAGAGGTACAGAAGAGGATGACTGCATTTTAAGTTGTACTTACATATACAGGAAGGGACATAAGCAGTCCAAGTACTGCTGGAGGTACAGAAGAGGATGACTGCATTTTAAGTTGTACTTAAGTATACAGGAAGGAACAGAAGCAGTCCAAGTACTGCTGGAGGTACAGAAGAGTATGACTGCAATACATGTTGTGCTTACAAATACAGGAAGAGACATAAGCAGTCCAAGTACTGCTGGAGGTACAGAAGAGTATGACTGCAATACATGTTGTACTTACGTATACAGGAAGGGACATTAGCAGTCCAAGTACTGCTGGAGAGGAAGAGTATGACTGCAATACATGTTGTGCTTACGTATACAGGAAGAGACATAAGCAGTCCAAGTACTGCTGGAGGTACAGAAGAGTATGACTGCAATACATGTTGTGCTTACGTATACAGGAAGAGACATAAGCAGTCCAAGTACTGCTGGAGGTACAGAAGAGTATGATTGCAATACATATTGTATTTACGTATACAGGAAGGAACAGAAGCAGAGGTACAGAAGAGTATGACTGCAATACATGTTGTACTTACGTATACAGGAAGAGACATAAGCAGTCCAAGTACTGCTGGAGGTACAGAAGAGTATGACTGCAATACATGTTGTACTTACGTATACAGGAAGAGACATAAGCAGTCCAAGTACTGCTGGAGGTACAGAAGAGTATGACTGCAATACATGTTGTACTTACGTATACAGGAAGGACAGAAGCAGTCCAAGTACTGCTGGAGGTACAGAAGAGTATGATTGCAATACATGTTGTATTTACGTATACAGGAAGGAACAGAAGCAGAGGTACAGAAGAGTATGACTGCAATACATGTTGTACTTACGTATACAGGAAGGGACATTAGCAGTCCAAGTACTGCTGGAGGTACAGAAGAGTATGACTGCAATACATGTTGTACTTACGTATACAGGAAGGAACAGAAGCAGTCAAAGTACTGCTTGAGGTACAGAAGAGTATGACTGCAAGACATGTTGTGCTTACGTATACAGGAAGGGACATAAGCGGTCCAAGTACTGCTGGAGGTACAGAAAAGTATGACTGCAATACATGTTGTACTTACGTATACAGGAAGGAACAGAAGCAGTCCAAGTACTGCTGAAGGTACAGAAGAGGATGGGCTCTCCTGATATCTGGTAGCCTGCATTGCAAGTAAAGTTAACGATGGATCCAAACTCAGTGCCGTCTCCTTCAACCTTTGTGATGGTTCCAAAGTTCAAGCTTGTAGGTAAAGGATTGCATGAGGCAACTGTAGGAAGACACAAAATGTAGGATGATTATATAAGCAACTCAGAAATACTCAATCATTCTACTGATTTGGGTCAGAATAAGTCTTCAGCAACCCATGCTTGTTGTAAAAGGCGACTATGTTTATTGTGAGGAGAAAAATGGTTGATGAAAGTCATTGTATCTTAATTGCATAGATTGAATCTCATTTATTTTCAAACCACCATGATATTAGCTGGAATATTGCTGGAGGTGTTGTCAACCACAGGACCATGTAACAATAACTTTTTTTATTTTATTGTTACATGGTCCCGTGTGTCAACAAACAAAAAAACTACTGAAGAATTCAATGTCACTTTTGATGTCTTAATGTCTAAATCAAAACTCTCCACTATAATAATAATGACTTATTCTGATATTAAAAGAGCAGTTCAAAGTTTGTGCTTACTGTGTATAAGTGAAAACAAAAGAGGAATTAAACTTTATCTTATGATAACAGGTTTAAAATTTTAATGCTGCATTCATTGTGGTTATGATCCATAGGGTGTTTTAGCAGCATATCAGCATACCTGCATGCTTGCTTACGTCTCACATTCAGCTGACACACCATATCATAACAAAATGATGTTCACAGCGGTGTTGAACCCAACTCACACACTCACACACATGTACCCATGTTTCATTGTCTGCTGGTGACTCACTTGTGCAGGTTGGGGTCGGCCCCCAGGTGCCATCATTACGACAGCTGATGGTAGCAGAGTTTGAGAGAGTGAACCCAGGATAACAGGAGTAGGTGACACTCCCACCAACGCTGCTGCTCTGGCCAGTTGAGGAGCTGACGTAAGCATTATTCACGAGAGGTGCAGAACCACAGTACTTGGCTGAAATAACAACATAGATAATGTCTGTCTGACAAAAGTCATATTCAACCTGACACGTTTCTGTTGAGTCACATATTATGTCCACAAAATTCAAGAAAACCCAAAAGAACTTTCATAGTGAGAAAAAAGCTCTGATGTAAGTCTGCAGTAAGACAAGTTCTATCGATGAACAACTTCTTTATTACAATTAGTGCGACGTTTCGGTGTAGATCCTAACACCTTTATCAAGCCAGCATCATGAACAACTTCTTTATTACAATTAGTGCGACGTTTCGGTGTAGATCCTAGCACCTTTATCAAGCAAGTGATGCTGGCTTGATAAAGGTGTTAGGATCTACACCGAAACGTCGCACTAATTGTAATAAAGAAGTTGTTCATCCATAGAACTTGTCTTACTTCATCACACAAACTTCTAAATGCCACTTAAAGAAGTCTGATGTAAGTCTGTTTTAAAAAATGGATTGAATTCCGATAGTCTAGTATAGTTTGCAATACCTCTTGTTACTCAGTCAACTATACTTACGCTGACAGCTTGGAGTGGTATCACGGTCCCACTTTCCTCCATACATGCATTTCATTCTTGCAACGGAGAAGCTTTCAAAGGCAGGAGCCTTGCTTTTGTCCTGGTACTCTTGTGAGGCAAACCTGTAACCATCCTTGCACGTCACCACAAACTCAGACATAAACTGCCAGTTTGCGTTTGATGGTGTCAAAACTGTGTTTTCATTGAAGTTAGGGTTGGGGCAGTCTGGAATTAAAATCTCATGTTTGTAACAAGTTGTGAAAAAATAACTTTGTAAACAAGGATTATGTGTCAACAATTAGATCAATACTAATACATATGAATGTGAATGTTGATCACAACTCTGGCACATTGATTAATGAATGTTTTACAATAATTCAGTTGTAAAAACAAAAACTTCATCAAATCATAACTACTCCTGTAGATAGTGTATAAAACTGATGAACTGTTATGGATAAACAGGAAAGTGTTGAGAGTATATATACCCAGGGGTATGACATTAATTAGGATGCACAGACAATGCACAGTTTCCTGTTTTACAAGATTAGGGTGAAAATAACCAAATGTTCTGTTTCTCACCTATTGAATATTCAAACAGAAATCCCTTCTCTCTTATTATGGCATTGGTTTTGAAGGTGACATTGAATTCTCCATTGTTTGATCTGCTTTGCACAACGGTGTCCCCAGAGAGAACATCTGGGCTAGCACCTCCATAATGGACCTGTACAACAAAAACAGGATAACTTGGTAACCTGCAGGCTAAATAAAGTTGGGTCTAGGGGTCCTTGTGGTGTGCCCCTATTGTATTGGAATCTAGGGACCCCCAAACCCTTACCTTTTAACATCAGATTACTCACATGAACCCCGGCCCTTGCTTTTCATTCTTAATTTGAATACCGGTAACATTCCACAGCACCTCAGTAAAAAATACACACATGAGGCAACATTTAATGACAGAGGATCTAATTACACTCACAATGTGAAAGAAACATTCTGTAGGAAGTTATTGGTTAAGTCTCAGTAATAAAAGACGATGACATCATTTCCTATCTACAAGACAGTTCTGATTACCTAGTGTATCATATATCAATGCTATAATAACATACATTGCCAGAAATTCACCTATTTTTTAGTCATAGGGACTCTTTGTTTAAATATTCAGGTACCAAGGCATGAACATGATTTAGAAGAATTTGATGTTTTCAATATTAGAAAGAAAATCAACCATTTCCACTACTCTGAACTGAGTGTGTAATTCTTTCGAGAGCAGAAATGTCTGTTATATGTAGCATGTAATCTATAATTTTTGTTTGTTTTAATGATTCAAATAAACATTCTAGTAAAATCCTAGATATTTTTTATATTTGTATACTTATCCTGCATTACTCCTTAATGCATATTACTGATTGTTACTGCTTGTTCTTGACAGAGAAAAGACCTGTGTGAAGGTCTTTGCTTGAAGAAGTTGTTCCAACTAGCTGAGAGGCCAACCCTATCACGCAGCTCCAACGTGACCAAAGGAAGTGACGTCATGGATCCTCACATTACACTGGAGTACGGACTTCGGAAGGCATCGTGGGGAGGTAGATCTGCAATGGGTGGGTCCCTTTAGACGCAGTAATGCAGGATAAGTTAACAAATATAAAAAATATCTTGGACTTTACTCAATTTTTTACTTATCCTGCATTACTCCTTAATGCATCTTTATCGGACGGAACCGGAGGTGGGCATACCTTCAGATGTTGACTTTCATCTTTTATTTCCAGACTCTGTTCCCTAGCCAATCCTTGGCTGTGTGGTCGGCTTTGGGTGACCACTGCATGTATGGGAAACTCCGTTTCCCTCAGCCCGTCTTCGGCTGTATGGTCGGCCTGGATGACCATCACATGGAAGGGAAGAGTCAGGTATGCGTTGTGTCCTGGTACTGCGCAGCCTGACAATAACTCTCGGTTATGTTGAGACTGGAGTACCGAGCCGTATGCAAGTGGGGCATGAACCTTCTAGTCCAGGGCTTACGCCAGGGGAGGTCGAAAGGCTGGCTCTGGACTTGGAGGCGAGGTCAGTGACGTCTAGTAGAGGAGCCTGTTGGGCACTACTAAAGGACCAAGTTGTGCGTGCCTAGCATATTCTCCAATGTGACATCTCGCATAAGGTGACGAATGTGTTTGATCGCCAGAACACCTTTCCATGATGGCAAGTAGAGTTCAGTTGCTGTGTAGTCCCAAGGTGGAGGGGATCGCCCGGGTCTCAAGTGGGTTATTGGAGCCTGGGGGTCCAATCCCGCTGCCTCGTAGGCCTGGAGAATGAAGGCTCGTAGCCAGAGGGCGATCGTGTTGCGGCTACCTTCCGATTGCGAGGTCGCAGCTCTATACTGGAATGAAGAGGCGTCGTCGTTGTCTATGGAGTTCCTTGGATCGTCTGATATAGCAACGGAGCGCACTAACCGGATATAGACGGAGCTCTAGTTCATCTCCAGCGCCAAAAATTGAAGATAGGGGAGGAATGAGGAACGATCTATCTGGCTCTCATGGGAATTGTTTTTTGGCGAAGCAGTCCCAGCACAGTCCAAGATGCATGTGCTCCATGCTAAAAGCGGCCGCCCGTGACGTCCAAGGCGTGTAGCTCACTGACACAGGCTTCTGTGGTGAGCGCCAGTAGGAAGAGTAGGATGATGTCGCTTCGAGTGGCTCGAAGGGCGCGTTTTCAGCGAGGTGTGAATGACATTCAAGCCCCAAGCTGGTGAAAGAGATTTCGCCTTTTGGTCTTCCTGCCTGAATGAGCAGAGCAGAGCCTGAAGTTCAGGGATTTACGTCATGCGCCGATCTTCCGGAACTGCCAGGACGGAGTTGAGCGCCACGAGGTAGGTCATGATGGTACTGCCCTTGAGCTTACACTTGTGACACAGATGGAGCATGAACTCAGCCAGGAATTGAGGCGATGCAGATGTGGGGTCTTGTTGCTTGCACCTGCAAAAGCTCTCAAAGAATTGCCACTATTCATCATAGAGGCTCCTGGTGGTTGGGCGATGTGCCATCGTGATGGCCCAAGCCGCTCTGGCCGAGATGACTTGGCGTTCAATGCTCCCTGTAAATGGATCAGACGTTAAGACATAGCTTGTCTGCTCCTGCGTGGGGCTGTCTGCTGTGAGGGTGGATCAGCAGATTTGGCCAATCTGGAAGTGGCTTGTCGTGTTAGACAGCTCTCTGCGGTCGACAAACCAAGCCCTGGCTGGCCACCAGGGCGTGACCAAAGTCAGATCGAGGTTCTGTGTCGATCTGCTCTTCTGGACGACTTTGGGAAGGAGTACGGGTGTTGGAAAAGCGTATGCTTTTAGTCCTTCCCCGCGGATGCTGAAAGCGTCGACTGCCCAAGCCAGTGGATCCGGGAACGGAGATATGTAGGTCGGGATCTGGTAGTTGTGGCTGGTGGCGAATAGGTCTATGTTGGGGAGACCGTGGTCTCGGCAAACAAGAGCGAAGGCGTCTTAGTGAAGCTTGAACGTCTGTTGAAGGAGTGAGGTCGAATTAGTCGCTCCTTGGTCCCGTAGGCAACATACGACTGTAATGTTGTCCACGGGCGTGTCTGATGGCCTGCTTCCAGTGAGCGATGGCCAAGGTAAGTGCCTCCAGTTCGAGGTTGTTGACGTGCCATAGGCACTGATCGGCGACCACAGCCCCGAGGCGACCTGTCCCTCTAGGTGTGTGCCCACTGCAGGGGCGCGTCTATGAAATGGCGCAGAGAGGTCGTAAGCCCTGTCAAGGAGACGTCACCTAAGACATTCAATTCCACCGTCCACCACCGGAGATGCTGCTTGAGATGATCCGGGAGGACGATGGAACATCTGAACTGGGCGCAGTTGGAGCCTTACTCTGTAGGTCAAGTCCTGCGCTGAGGTTAGGAGGCGCAGGAGGACTTGCCATTGGCGCAGAGTGCGTGGTAGGTGGAGAGCTGGAGTCAGGTGCGCCTGATGCGCTCTCATCGGTCTCTGGGTACAAAGAAGAGATTGAGGTCCGTCTGGAAGAGGCCCCCGATGAACTGAAAGCGATTTGAGGGCGTCAACTCGTGACTTCCTGAGGTTGATCTTCCACCCCAATAGGTATAGGAGCCAGGAGTCCCTGTGGCGAAGTAGAGTGATGGTGTCCCAATGATTCAGGAGACAATCATCTATGTATGACTCGAACTGAATGTCCCGGAGATGGAGGTAGGAGGCTATCGGCTTGGTAAGCCGTGTGAGTAGCCACAGTGCTGAAGATGTCGTCTATAAACGCCAGCTTGTACCCATGTAGCGGCGGGTCATCTAGAAGCGCCAGCTTGTACCAATGTCGGATGATGTTGGTTCCATATGGGTCCCCCAGGATCTCATAAATCTGCCAGAAACGTACTGGAGAGTCGATAACTTGGTCCCAGTCGTGCTTGTCTGGCTATTCACTTGAAGTCCCTGCGGTCGGCGTTACCCCTCTTGGAGTGGCCACAGCGGGACTGTTATGCACCCGATGCCTTGCCTTTTCCTCTGCCCCGAGAGGTTGAGATGGTGCCGCGCCACTGGGGCATCGCGGCTGGTATGAGCCAGACTGGGACGCCTCAGCAAAGGCTGGCCGTGACGCCCTAGCCAGGGTCTTGAGAGCTGTCTCGTCTCGGGCGAAGGCTGAGACTCTGGATTGAGTCATTGATGTACAGCCACAGGCTTCTGGTCGAGTGGTTGCAGTGTTACGCATAAGCGATCATGCATGCCAGTCTGTACAAATACACTGCACGGATCCCATAAGGTCAGTTGACCTGATTACGGTCGGCGATGTTGCAGTCGCAAGTACTGGATCTACTAGAGGAGAGGGACGTCCATCATAGGTGTCTGGGCCGTAGGCGGGGTGCCTGTTGGGCGCCATGCGTCTCTCCGGTGCACTCGATAGGCGCTGTTAAGATAGACGCAGTAGTGGTCGTCAGGGAGCTCCAGGTAGAGACTGAGACCATGGGGCCCCGACATCATGGTAGTAATGGGGGTCGGGGAGTTGTCGTCCGAGATATCCGATCTGGTTGTGGGCGAATACTCGGATAAGTCAGACTTCTGGCGCCGGTGTTTTCCTGGCCTGTTGAGTTCTCCGTTTCCTGGACATACGGAGGTACCGTCTGAAAGCTGTGGGGAAAAGCGGAGACAGTCTGTACATCTATGACCCTGGGGACATTTAGATGTACAATTAAGGCACAGGGGATCGGGGATCCCACGCCGACATATTACGCCGGCACTTTGAGCATGAGGGCACAATATCTGCAATGAAGCAGTGTAAAATCACAATGCGTACCCTCCTGATTATGTATGCTATAATTTGTTTATCCCACTGCGTGGGCCAATAAAACAATTATTATGACAAACGTAAGACAACATACAAAACAAAGACAAAATACTTGCGAGGGTACACCAATGGTGGGGTACAAAGCAAAAAGAATATAGAACGCAAGCCAGTAAATAACTGGACAGGTAAAATATTCAAGATGGCTACTTGAAACAACAAGACACCTGGGTTTACCATAGTTTTCTTTCTTAAGAAAACGCCAGCAGGTGTACAACACAAGCACAATTAATGAACATTAACTCAAGAAGCAAAACACATAAGGGTTTGGTGAAGGTTTATGCTACAGATCAAAAACAGGTCTCAGCAAGTGACAAGAATAATGTGCGGATCCGTGACATCACTTCCTTTGGTCACGTGGGAGCTGCGTGATAGGGTTGGCCTCTCAGCTATTTGGAACAACTTCTTCAAGCAAAGACCTTCACACAGCTATTTTCTCTGTCAAGAACAAGCAGTAACAATCAGTAATATGCATTAAGGAGTAATGCAGGAAAAGTAAAAATTCTTTCTTGCATACCCAGGGTTTGCAATGTAAATTATTTACATCCACTAGATGTATCCTGGACCCATTTGCTGAAGAGATGCATTTTTATTTGAAATGACACTTGAAATAGTCAAACTGGCAAATAACATGCATGTTTGGGAGACTTTGTGAAGTTATATAAAAGAAGATGGAAATTGTGACATTACTTCCCAAGCAGGACAAACAAATAGGTGCAGGTATTCATCATCATGGTATGGGTGACTGTATAAAGAATGATGTATTTGAGGACTTCTCCAATTCAGGATATTGCACAAAACAAATCTTACAGTCACTACATCTTCACTTGTCTGTGTCTTGAATCCTCTGTTGATGAGTGTGATATTGGGTTTGCCAGGCACGTCCACTCTGAAGTTACATGAGATGTCATTGGGGTAGTTCATGGCAGTGTTACCATCAAGGGCATAGCCAGGTGAGAAGAGTCTGCCTTTCATGGAAGTCAGCAGCATGTCACATCCTGAAAAGCATTCATGATTGTTAGGATGCATTGAGATATCAGATGACATTTGATATGTCTTGTGTCATTGAATCAAAAACTTAAAACACTTTCTCAAAGGAGTAACAAAGTGACTCTGAACCCACCTTTGTACGCGTATGAATGTGCATCTGAAACCCACCTTGTCAGAATCTGAATCTGAACCCACCTTGTCAGAATCTGAATCTGAACCCACCTTGTCTGAATGTGAATCTGGACCATCTTGTCTGTATGTGAATCTGTACCCTCTTTGTCTGTATATGAATCTGAATCTGAACCCACCTTGTCTGCATATGAATCTGAATCATTTTTGTCTGTATGTGAAGCTGAACCCATCTTGTCTGAATGCGAATCTGAACCCATCTTGTCAGAATCTGAATCTGAACCCACCTTGTCTGAATGTGAATCTGGACCATCTTGTCTGTATGTGAATCTGAATCTGAATCCACCTTGTCTGTATATGAATCTGAATCATTCTTGTCTGTATGTGAATCTGAACCCATCTTGTCTGTGTGCGAAATCTGAACCCATCTTGTCTGTATATGAATCTGAACACACCCTAGTTGTATGTGAATCTGAACACACCTTGTTTGTATGTGAATCTTTACCCTCCTTGTCTATATGCGAATCTGAACCCATCTTGTCTGTATGTGAATCTGAACACACCCTAGCTGTATGTGAATCTAAAGACACCTTGTTTGTATGTGAATCTGAACCCTCCTTGTTTGTATGTGAATCTGAACCCTCCTTGTTTGTATGTGAATCTGAACCCTCCTTGTTTGTATGTGAATCTGAACACTCCTTGTCTGTCTGTAAATCTGAACCCTCCTTGTCTGTATGTGAATCTGAACATACCTTGTCTGTATGTGAATCTGAACCCTCCTTGTTTGTATGTGAATCTGAACCCTCCTTGTCTGTCTGTAAATCTGAACACACCTTGTCTGTATGTGAATCTGAACACAACTTATCTGTATGTGAATCTGAACACACCTTGTCTGTCTGTGTATCTGAACCCTCCTTGTCTGTCTGCAAATCTGAACCATCTTGTATGTATGTGAACCAGAACTCTCCTTGTCCGTATGTGAAGCTGAACCCTCCTTGTCTGTATGTGAATCTGATCCCTCCTGGTCTGTATGTGAATCTGAACACAACTTGTCTGTATGTGAATCTGAACACAACTTATCTGTATGTGAATCTGAACACACCTTGTCTGTCTGTGTATCTGAACCCTCCTTGTCTGTCTGCAAATCTGAACCATCTTGTATGTATGTGAACCAGAACTCTCCTTGTCTGTATGTGAATCTGAACCCTCCCTTGCCTGTATGTGAATCTGAACACACCTTGTCTGTATGTGAATCTGAACACACCATGTCTGTATGTGAAGCTGAACACACCATGTCTGTCTGTGAATCCGAACCCTCCCTTGTCTGTATGTGAATCTGAACCCTCCTTGTCTGTATGTGAATCTGAACCCACCTTGTCTGTATGTGAATCTGAACACACCATGTCTGTATGTGAATCTGAACCCACCTTGTCTGTAAGTCATTCTGAAACCCACCTTGTCTGTATGTGAATCTGAATCCTTTCCCGACTTGGTAGCCGCGTGTCTGCATGGTGAAGTACATGCTGTTGCCAGTGGAGAAGATGAATGGGACGTCACCCACATCTGTGTCAGCTGTGAACATGTACAGCAGGTTAGCCTTCACACAGTCACCGTTTCGGATCACGATTTTGTCCATACCCTTCAAGTCTACCTCCAAGATCTGAAAAAGGAACAACATAAAGAAGTTAATACACTGACATCTCCAATTCACAACTGGGACAAGAGCATTGTCTATCAGAAACATAACATAATCCTGGTAAAGACATCTGACACAAACTTTTAAATCATGATCACTAGACTTATTAAGGCATGCTTGGCCAACTTATTCATTAGGAATTTTCAATGCCAACCTCTTAGTTCTGAGATATAATGCTTCATTATATCTCGAAAGAAGTTAAAGACCACCTAATACTTTCACATTACTTTTGTTAATCCATCATAGCATGGCAGATTAAACATGTGAAAGAATCGAGTGGTCCTTAACTTCTTTAATTCTCGAATTTATTGAAATCTTAATAACAGATTGTGTTCAATTTCAGGAAAGGAGCTAAAAAAACTGCCATTCCTGGAGTGGCGTTGAAATACATTTGCATTGAGAGTGACAGTCTGCCTAAGTATTAATTACTCAACACTTACATTGAGAGTAATTATTTTCATATTTTTTTATCTGTGTTGCATTTTTTTAAAACATTTCCTATACTGTTGCTATATTGTTTCAGCATGGTTATGATTGTTTGAACTTTGAATGGGTAATGTGTAATCTAGTTAAACAGAATTTATAAAACTGATCTCCCCGTGAACTTAATATTGCTGAATATTTTTAAATCGGGTAATATCGATATAGTTCTTCCTGGAAGAATTGAAAGTTGGAATTCATTTTGTGATTCTGTTTTTAAATATGATCTGTTTAAAAAGAATGGTGATTAAGCCACTGCGTGTGTGGGAGTCTGAGCAAACTGTAGGAATAAACACTTTTCAATATATATACATATGTATGATTTTGAGAGTGTTTTTATCAGGGAATACGGCTTTAGAATACTCATTAACGCAGCTCTTGTGTTACTTATTTATGCTTCAGAGAAAGGAAATATATTATGAATGTTATTGCGTTATTGATGTGTTGACTAAGATCAACAGGATATTCACTTCATTGCAATTTTAGGAGCCCGAAATTATCTTGACTGCCTCCTTATGTCATGGACTATTCATTTCTTCTTTAATGTGTGTAACTGAATTATTCATTTTTTAACTTTCTTCAGAAACAGTTTACTACCGCTTGACAATTAATTACCTTACTGGCCTTGACCTCTACATATACTAGACATGGAGGAGCAGAAGCGTACTCATTAATAATCTTCGCTAACAGATGAATTTGTGATATATAAACGCGAACAAGTCAGGTATGTCTTAAGTTTTTAAGCATTACGTTACATATCTACTGTTACAGCAGATATAGACTCCTGCTCAATCAATAGTCTTTGGTCTTGACATTGACACTGAACCTTCCCGACACATCTGCTCAGGCACTGTAGGTTTTGCACATGCATTTGACTAGGGAGCTGTATTATTGTCCAACTGTTTCAGGTTTTTTTACTTACCCTGTTTGTACAACTATGCATAACATTATATATATTATATAACCTAGGGTGTTGGTAAACTTATAAACAAAATAAAGAATGTATAAGTGTTATTTGTGAGTGAATAGGCAGGAAATATAATGAGTGTTCAACATAAAGCAGGGTTCCCATAGATTGTTCTCAGAAAATCATATTCATGTCATGGTGCACATAAGATGTTAACAAATATTATTCAGCAACAAACTGTATACAATTGGGTTATTTAATGTGTAGTCTTATTTCTTCCAAGTGGAGTTTGTGACAGCCAGATATTTGGTTTCTTGGATCATCTCTTGCATAGAACTCTTACTCCAGTCTTTCAGTCTCACGGATGGTATTTGCGTGACTGCTGAGAATAGCCATACGTTTCTTCATCCCCCAGGGGATGTGTGTTTGGATACTACAGCCAGTCCTTTTTATCGTTTTTCAGCCATGAAAAACCTCCTCTCTGTCAGGGATGTGTATGAAGGTGGCTATGATGCTAGGGGGAGCAGTCGGACAGTGATCCCATTGATATTCTGATTTTGGCAATCTGTGAACCACTTTGAACAAGATGTCATCAACTCGCTGAGTTCAAGGAGTTGATAAAAACAAATCTCAAAACTCTTTCTGTGTTTTCTCCTGGTTCTTTAATTCGTCTCGCAGTTTCTTAATTTTGTCTGTGTGAGTAGAAACCACATGTTCGGTCGCGTTTGTTTGGGTCTCTAAATTCTTGTAATTCGTCTTCAACACTGTCAACAGAGACTTGTAATTCTGCCTCAAACCATGGCTCCTTTGTATTTGATCGAACATTATAGTCCATCATTTTGTCACCTGGTTTTTCACAATTATTTTTCATTAAACACAAAATCATGTGATGAAAGTTTGTTGTTATCGAATAATAATCATTGTCCTAACTAAAAATACAAATTCTGTAATAGTTCATGGTCGGATAAAAATAAATTCTTCATTGTTGCAAAACCGGGGGGGGGGATATAGCGACCAGTATGTCTGTAACTCCAAAACCAAAACCAAATATTTTTTGTCGAAACTTTCAATATAAATCAATCTTGCATTTTAATGATTTGTGATTTTTTCTATACTTTTTATTTTGTTTTGTTATCATGTTTTTTTCATGATGGAAACAAGCTCTTTTTCTGGAGCAGAACTCCACAACGGTTAAATATTGTTTGTTGAAACTTGCTATATAGATCACTCAAATGATTAACTGGTGCCTTTTGATGATTTTGGATTTAATTGTTCTGAACAGTACTGAAGGTACCAAATGACTATGAACCAAAACTAGAGTATAAGAAGCCATACTCTTCAGAATTGCACCTGCCCGGTGTCTCTCTTTATCATGTAAAACAATCTCATAATGTTGTCAAACATGCTTGCTGTGTCACCAGATCGTAAAACCAGTCTAGTCCCAGTCTAGTGACCGCACTGCATCCCTCTCTCCTAATTGCCTTGATTCCGGCACCATTTATCAAAATCCCGTGGTTGTTGTTGTCCAGTGTCTTCACATTCAATTGTTAGAGAATTGGTGACCCATAAATTTTATTCTCTTATCGGTTTTATCACATATCCTGTAGGTCCCTGTGGACCGGCAAATAAAGTACCTTATGAAATTCTTTGTTGTTGAACAAAACATCCGCTATAATCAATACAGTATTAATGATATTAAAATATAAGAGTTGCCAGTCCACCGGGACTGACAAGTTTCCAAAGCCAGCGGGAACCCTGTATATGTTGTATTAATGTCATATGTTTACAATGTTGTCTTATTTTCTCAACAAAAGGTAAGTGCAAGGTAACTGTTTTTTTCAATATGCTTCAACATGGGGAAAAGGGTCAGACACTGCACGCTTGTGACAGCTGTCCTTGTGTCTGGGGGATGGCGAGTGAGGTTTATGGAAGTATTGCGCGGGATCTATGCCCGATTTCAGCCTTAGAAATTGGCACTAGTCCTATAGTCCTTGTCAAACTGTCCAATAGTTAAGGTATCCCAAGAACTAGAAGACATTTGCCCTTTTTAGGGGTTTTGTTATATGTTATCATTATAAGGACTAGTGGACTAAAACTGTTATTTTCTACGGCTTGTGCAATTTTCTCCATGGTTCTTGGCGGGTCTGGCCTTGTCTCCTGGAGTCTGTGGGTTACCGGGGCAATTTTAACTCATGTCTGAGAGTTAAGGTCTGCATCTGTATGTCAATTACTCAACACTTACACTGAGAGTGATGATCTGTGTCTGCATGAGAGTGTCAATAACTCAACACTTACATTGAGAGTGATGATCTGTGTCTGCATCAGTGTGTCAATTACTCAACACTTACACTGAGAGTGATGATCTGTGTCTGCATCAGTGTGTCAATTACTCAACACTAACATTGAGAGTGATGATCTGTGTCTGCATCAGTGTGTCAATTACACAGCACTAACATTGAGTGTGATGATCTGTGTCTGCATCAGTGTGTCAATTACTCAGCACTTACATTGCGAGTGATGATCTGTGTCTGCATCAGTGTGTCAATTACTCAACACTTACACTGAGAGTGATGATCTGTGCCTGCATCAGTGTGTCAATTACTCAACACTTACATTGAGTGATGATCTGTCTGCATCAGTGTGTCAATTACGCAACACTTACACTGAGAGTGATGATCTGTGTCTGCATCAGTGTGTCAATTACTCAACACTTACATTGAGAGTGATGATCTGTGTCTGTATCAGTGTGTCAATAACTCAACACTAACAATGAAAGTGATGATCTGTGTCTGCATCAGTGTGTCAATTACTCAACACTTACATTGAGAGTGATGATCTGTGTCTGCATCAGTGTGTCAATTACTCAACACTGACATTGAGAGCGATGATCTGTGTCTGCATCAGTGTGTCAATTACTCAACACTTACATTGAGAGTGATGATCTGTGTCTACATGAGTGTGTCAATTACACAAAACTTACATTGAGAGTGATGATCTTTGCCTGCATTAGTGTGTCAATTACGCAACACTAACAATGAGAGTGATGATCTGTATCTGCATCAGTGTGTCAATAACTCAACACTTATGTTGAATGTGATGGTCTGTGTCTGTATCAATGTCAGTTACTCAGCACTTACATTGAGAGTGATGATCTGTGTCTACATGAGAGTGTCATTACTCAACACTAACACTGAGAGTGATGATCTGTGTCTGCATCAGTGTGTCAATAACTCAACACTTACATTGAGAGTGATGATCTGTGTCTACATGAGAGTGTCATTACTCAACACTAACATTGAGAGTGATGATCTGTGTCTGCATCAGTGTGTCAATAACTCAACACTTATGTTGAATGTGATGGTCTGTGTCTGTATCAATGTCAGTTACTCAGCACTTACATTGAGAGTGATGATCTGTGTCTACATCAGTGTGTCAATTACTCAACACTTACATTGAGAGTGATGATCTGTGTCTGCATTAGTGTGTCAATTACTCAACACTTACATTGAGAGTGATGATCTGTGTCTGCATTAGTGTGTCAATTACTCAACACTTACATTGAGAGTGATGATCTGTGTCTGCATCAGTGTGTCAATGACTCAACACTTACATTGAGAGTCATGATCTGTGTCTGCATCAGTGTGTCAATTACTCAACACTAACATTGAGAGTGATGATCTGTGTCTGCATCAGTGTGTCAATTACTCAACACTGACATTGAGAGTGATGATCTGTGTCTGCATCAGTGTGTCAATTACTCAACACTAACATTGAGAGTGATGATCTGTGTCTGCATCAGTGTGTCAATTACTCAACACTTACATTGAGAGTGATGATCTGTGTGTGCATCAGTGTGTCAATGACTCAACACTTACATTGAGAGTGATGATCTGTGTCTGCATCAGTGTGTCAATTACTCAACACTAACATTGAGAGTGATGATCTGTGTCTGCATCAGTGTGTCAATGACTCAACACTTACATTGAGAGTGATGATCTTTGTCTGCATTAGTGTGTCAATTACTCAACACTTACATTGAGAGTGATGATCTGTGTCTGCATTAGTGTGTCAATTACTTAACACTTACACTGAGAGTGATGATCTGTCTACATCAGTGTGTCAATTACTCAACACTTACATTGAGAGTGATGATCTGTGTCTACATCAGTGTGTCAATTACTCAACACTTACATTGAGAGTGATGATCTGTGTCTGCATCAGTGTGTCAATTACACAAAACTTACATTGAGAGTGATGATCTGTGTCTGCATCAGTTTGTCAATTACTCAACACTTACACTGAGAGTGATGATCTGTGTCTGCATCAGTGTGTCAATTACTCAACACTTACACTGAGAGTGATGATCTGTGTCTGCATCAGTGTGTCAATAACTCAACACTTATGTTGAATGTGATGGTCTGTGTCTGTATCAATGTCAGTTACTCAGCACTTACATTGAGAGTGATGATCTGTGTCTACATCAGTGTGTCAATTACTCAACACTTACATTGAGAGTGATGATCTGTATCTGCATCTGTGTGTCAATTACTCAACACTTATGTTGAATGTAATGGTCTGTGTCTGTATCAATGTCAGTTAATCAACACTAACATTGAGAGTGATGATCTGTGTCTACATCAGTGTGTCAGTTACTCAACACTTACATTGAGAGTGATGATCTGTGTCTGCATCAGTTTGTCAATTACGCAACATTTACACTGAGAGTGATGATCTGTGTCTGCATCAGTGTGTCAATTACTCAACACTGACATTGAGAGTGATGATCTGTGTCTGCATCAGTGTGTCAATTACTCAACACTTATGTTGAATGTGATGGTCTGTGTCTACATCAGTGTGTCAGTTACTCAACACTTACATTGAGAGTGATGATCTGTGTCTACATCAGTGTGTCAGTTACTCAACACTTACATTGAGAGTGATGATCTGTGTCTACATCAGTGTGTCAGTTACTCAACACTTACATTGAGAGTGATGATCTGTGTCTGCATCAGTTTGTCAATTACTCAACACTGACATTGAGAGTGATCATCTGTGTCTGCATCAGTGTGTCAATTACTCAACACTTATGTTGAATGTGATGGTCTGTGTCTGTATCAGTGTCAGTAAATCAGCACTTACATTGAGAGTGATGATCTGTGTCTACATCAGTGTGTCAATTACTCAACACTTACACTGAGAGTGATGATCTGTGTCTGCATCAGTGTGTCAATTACTCAACACTGACATTGAGAGTGATGATCTGTGTCTGCATCAGTGTGTCAATTACTCAACACTTACACTGAGAGTGATGATCTGTGTCTGCATCAGTTTGTCAATTACTCAACACTTACATTGAGAGTGATGATCTGTGTCTGCATCAGTGTGTCAATAACTCAACACTTATGTTGAATGTGATGGTCTGTGTCTGTATCAGTGTCAGTAAATCAGCACTTACATTGAGAGTGATGATCTGTGTCTACATCAGTGTGTCAATTACTCAACACTAGCATTGAGAGTGATGATCTGTGTCTGCATCTGTGTGTCAATAACTCAACACTTATGTTGAATGTGATGGTCTGTGTCTGTATCAATGTCAGTTACTCAGCACTTACATTGAGAGTGATGATCTGTGTCTGCATCAGTGTGTTGATGATCCAGGTGTAGTCCTGATTTCCCAGGTACATGGACGGGTAATTTGGGGCTTTGAGGAACTTCTGAGCATCTATCGCCCGGAGATTCTGGTATGGTTGAAGATTGGCACTCCCTGAAGAAAAAACATACACACGCTGCTACCTTGGACAACTGATACCCCCATTTGAGCAACAAAAGAAATTAACAGGTGAAACAGTCAACTCTCGTTTCCTTGACACGACTATTTTAAGTCGAAAATTAACCAGACATGTTTTAATTCATCTCTACTATTTCTTTCTTTTTTTCACATGTTTATATCACCTGGAAACTCGGCTTGAATAAGTTGTTTGTTTGATGTTTAACTCCAAACTCAGCAATATTCCAGCTGTATGATGGCAGTCTGTAAATAATCAAGTCTGGACCAGGTAATCCAGTGATTGACATCATGAGAATTGATCCACGCAATTGAGATATGATGACACGCATCGATCAAGTCAGCCAGTCTGACCACCCAATGCTGCTAGTCCCCTCTTACAACAGGCATAGTCGCCTTTTACGGCGAAAGCCTATTCTAGTCATGATCTTCATGGGTAGCTTAACAAGTAGACACTTTGGACAATTTAAGTACTGTGACAAAAATTCACCAATGAATAATCGACTGATTGCGAATTTACACCTCACGATACAATACGTGTCAAAAACTATTGCATAAACACTATTGCATCAAGCCTTAAATGAAATGGGAGTAAAACACAAAATAGTGATAGAAATAACCTCTGGAGAATTTCCGTAAAGCAAATGGGTAAATTTAGAATTGAGATAGGTATAGTATCCAGTATGGCAATATATATTGGTACATATCGAGGTATTGATACATAGTGACACCACCAATAACCAGACACCTCACCAAGCTTCCTGATTCGCAATGACTTTGCAAAACTGCTGGATTTGACAGATCTAGTAAAATATAGATATACTTAGATGTATTTAGATTAGTATACTTATCCTGCAATATAAGATAGCTACGATATAAATCGCAAAGAAAATCAAGAACGACGCATGGTTTATTTAAATATAAAACATTGTTCTACCATGACGTAATTTCTGGAGATTCGAACATGTGCTCGCAACTTGATGACGTAAATAGGACGTTATTTTTGAGAGAGGAGTGCGAGTTGTTCCCCATAGATGTAGCTGGGTGACACAGATAAACACGATGGCCGAAGGATCGCATCCCAAAGAGTGAGAGATATGGCAATCAGTATTGGGTGAAAAGTTACTGGTAATTGACGTGAGGATTGTGAGAATATGTAGGAAATACCCTGTGCATAAAATGGACTTGTCCAACATTGCTGAGTTCAGATTCTATTCGTGTCATCAAGATTCTTTATGTTTAGTGTGTCTATATCCAAGATGGGACTTGATTGCTAACAACGATTCTTGAGTGGGTCTCTTCAAGAACTCTAGATCTACTTTTGAAGTTTTGACCGATATGGCTACCTGTCGTGGTCAGCCAAGATGGCGATGCCACTGGCAGAAGGGGTCAAGGGACCAAGTAGCACTGCTGGTGACAGCGTGGCAAGAGAGACTATTGGCCTATTTGATTTTGTTGAGAATCTCACTGAGATTTCGACCTCAACTGGGGGAAAGTCGAACTCTTAGAGAGTAAAAGAAATTACAGGTTCCAAGAAGCCAAGTGGCAGAAAAGGAGAGGGGGGCAGTGACCCAGATTCCGTGAGGGGTTCGCAGCTGGACGCTACACTGCAAGCACTACTTCAGGGCCAGAACGCCCAGACTCAAGCCATGCGTGAACTCTGTGCTACTTTGGCTAAAAATAGCAGCAGGGGGGAAAGTGACGGAAAGAGCTGAGAAGAACCGATTGCTTCTGTATCGCAGGAAGATGGTGGCGCCCATAGTGAGGAAGATGAAACATCCGATGAGGATATGATTGACAATTTGGTAAATCATTATATAGACAGTGAGCATTCCAGTGTTGATAATGGTGATGATGAGGCCGATTTGAACAGTCTCATGAAAGATATGGTCGAGTATTTTGGCGAGGAGGACGCTGCCGGTCCGGAAATCACGGGAAACCTGGCCAGATCTGTCAATGAGGGACTGTCTAAACCTCCGAACATGGTCAAGTACAAGCGACCTAAGAATGTTGGGAACTTTTTGGTACCACGTGTCAATGAAGTTATTTGGAATGAGGCCGGTCCCCTGACGAGAGCACGTGAAATTCGGATGCAGCACACGCAAGGAATGATAACTAAAGCTATTGTTCCCATCACTGAGATGATGGATGAACTGATGACTGCTGTTGCCAACAGACAACAGGTTAATGCAATCAAGATGTTAGATAAGACCAAAGATTCACTGAGAATACTTATTGGAGTAGAGACAGATCTAAATATCAAAAGAAGAGATAACTTTAAACCAGATCTTCAAGGACCTTACAAGCGTCTGTGTTCGGCTGATACTCCAACGACAGTATACCTATTTGGGGATGACCTCCCCAATGGTATCAAAGACATAACAGAGTGCAAAGAGCTCAGCAACAAGCTCCACACACCAGGCAAGCCAGCCATGCATAGGAGGTCATACACACCTGGATATGGACATAGAAACCCAGGAAACAGGTTTAGGCCTTATGACTTTCAACGACTCAGATAAGGTGGTTTTGTGAAGAACAAAGTCTTTCAGTCGGGGTCTAATCGTGGAAGAACGGGAAATCACCGAAACCAGGGCCCTTTTTCAGGGCGATGCTCATCAGGGCCCAAACCCTCATTGAATAATGAGGTTGACTCATCTCACTTCAAAATGGACAATATCTGAGATTTTACTGGGAAAACCAACTGTATCAGTTCACATGTTAGCCCAATGGTTTAGCCTCTGCCCCATAGACTATTCACAAAAATCATGAAACCAGTTTTTTCCTGTTTGAGAAAACAGGGTTTCACAAACACTGCATATATAGATGATTCACTGCTTGTCGGGGAAACGGAAGATATGTGTAGAGACAATGTGAACTGGACTGTCAGTGTTTTAGACAACTAGGGGTTTACCATACACCCGCAAAAGTCTGTTTTTCAACCATCAAAATCTATTACTTACTTAGGTTTTGTTAGTGGACTTGGAAATAGTCAAGAACAGTGCATTGAAAGCAGCTAAAGGGAACTGCAATGGGCATGTTACTTTGGATGATAGACGTGTACATGATTTGAACTGGTGGATAGACAATGAGGAAAGTGTCTAGTGAGGAAAGTCACTGTGTGGTAAAATGACACGTGCTCATATCAGACTTATGCTTGACAATACCACAGCAGTTGCCTACATAAACCACATGGGGGGTACCAAGTTGATATGCAACAATATTACTAGAGAGATATGGCAGTGGTGTTCAGAAAGGGACCTATGGATTTCAGCAGCTCATTTGCCAGGGATTTGTAATAGTGAAGCTGACAGGCATTCAAGAAATGTGTCAGATGACAAAGAATGGCAACTAGATTGTGGTGTTTATCACAGACTGACTGAAGTATATGGTACCCCATCTATTGACCATTTTGCTTCAAGGCTAAACAGACAACTTGAGTGTTATGTCTCTTGGCACCCTGACCCGGGTGCAGCAGCAATTGATGCCTTCTCTTTGTTTTGGGGCAATTCTTATAACTACATATTTTGCCCTTTTAGTGTGATTGGGCCAGCTCTGAGGAAGATTCAGGAGGAGGCAGCAGATAGTACCACTTTGGACGACACAACCCTGGTTCAGCAAGCTACTACATTTGTTAACAGACTGTCCCAGATTGCTGCCCAGGTCAACCAGTCTGCTGAAACTGAGAAATCGTCCAGAAGCGACTCATCCACTGCACAAGAAGTTACGCCTTACAGCCATGAAATTATCAGGGAAGGACTCCAAAGTGAAGACATTTCAAAACCAGTTGAGGACATCATATTGCGACCGCCTCCGTGGTCTTGTGGTAGAGCGTCCGCCCGGAGAGCGGAAGGTCCAGGGTTCGATCCCGGGCCGCGTCATACAAAAAGACATTAAAAGATTGTACTTGTTGTTACCCTGTCTGGCGCTCGGCATTAAGGGGCTAAAACAAGGACTGGTCGGCTCGGAGTCAGTATACTGTGTCTGAGTGGGGTATTCATGTTAAACTGCGGCATGGTATCTCAGTGAGCTAGCACTATAAATCGGCATCAGTCCGGACTAGAACAAGCAGCCACACACACACATACACGTGCATGCACGTCGCTATATAAGTGCAATAATCTTGGACGCGACGTTAAACCCAATTTCACCTCACCTCACATCATATTGCAGTCATTGAGAAATTCCACTCACAAACAATATGGGTCATATCTCAAGAAGTGGGTGTCTTTTTGCGGTAAATCAATGGCATATCAATACCTTTTCACCCTCTTTGAGGCAGGGGCTAGACTTTCTAGCATTGCTGTACATGCAAGGCTTAAGTTACTCAGCAATTAATACAGCCAGGTCAGCCTTGTCAACAATAGTGAAGATTCAGAATGTGCAATTTGGACAACATCCCACAGTGTCACGATTCATGAAAGGTGTGTTTAATGTGAGACCTCCTCGATACAACGTCACCTGGGATTGTGGGACAAGTGATCACTTATCTGAGGGAATTTGATGAAAGTGTGTCGCTAAAATGCCTTTCAATGAAGCTGTCAACTCTTCTGTTGTTACTGTCAGGACAAAGGCCTCAGGCACTTCATTTGATTGATTGCAGAAATGTTGATCTGTTAGAAACTTCTGTGAAGATCAGGTTCAGAGATTTACTAAAACAATCTCGGCCCGGATATCACCAAGAGGAACTGACTTAACTCAGAAAAAACAACAGGAATAGTATTCAAACATAAAAACATTAAATCCGCCTCCCCAATCCTCCAGCTAAACAACCAAACAATCAGCCTGTATTAGACTTAATCACTGATTATACTTGTTTCCTGTAACATATATACCAGACCCGCAGGACTCCCAAACAACCAATCAATATTCACGGCAGAACTAATGGGCATGGCCTCAGCCCTCCATAATCAAGAATCCAAAAACCACAAAAAAATCCTAATACTTACCGACTCCCTAAGTGGACTGCAAGCCCTCCAAAACAAAAATACCAAAAACCGACCTAAATTAATAAATCAAATACTTAAGAGCTCCAACGACCTAACTAAGGCAGGCAAACAAATAACCTTCTTGTTGATACCCGCCCACGTAGGAATATACGGTAATGAAAACGCCGACAAGGCAGCCAAACTATCCCTCAAAATTCCAGAAATAAGCTTAAACTTACCCATCTCAAAATCAGAAATTAAAAGCGTAAACAAGCAAAAAATCACCAAAAAATGGCATAACCTATATCTAAACTCAAATAGCCAAATCAAAAAAGTACTCAGCAAACCACTAACCAAACCAAAAATTCTCCATCCATCAAAAAAAATCGACAGAGTAATCACTAAACTCCAAACAGGACACACCAACCTAAATAACCACCTTAAAAAAATTAAAAAAACACACTACAGGTAACTGCCCACACTGCAAACAACTAGAAACCCCATAACACGCACTCATCCACTGCACACATTACCTAACACATCGAACCGCATTACAAACCACCCTCAATCTAAAGAAGGCTCTCACTCTAGAAGCAATTAATACTAAACCCACAAAATAAACTAGAAAACTTCAAGGCCTTAGGCGTATTCTTAATCAAAACGGAACTAATAAAACGCATCTAAAAACACTATAATCTACCAAATCAAAATCACATAAACAAACAAACATCCACCATACCCAGCTCCCTTAGTTCTACTCCCCAACCGGGGAATTCCATCGATAGTAATGAATGATGTCCTGTGTCTGAGATTAATTATTCCGTTGCCCAAAGACCATATATGGAAATTTAAAGGACGCGATGCAAAGCGCCATCTGGCCACATTCTAATTTTAGCAATGGGAATTTCCAGGTTTTGATTTATTTTCGTCTGAACATCGTAAGCAGGCTATGAGCTTTCAATAGTTTTTTATTTTATGGTATTAATACAAAATTAAGTATATCACAATCTGTGTGTGCAAAACATGCATGCAAAATATTTTTGGCGCGTTTATATGATTTTAATGCGCGAAAAATGCAGGTTTCTGCATTAAAGCGAACACTGCTGATATAATCCAGGAACTGTAGGCTTAATTGCAACTGATTGTCAATTCCTGTTCTGACGGGAGCAGTTCAAAAGCACTTGTCATTGGTGAAGTGTGATGGGCTGCTGATGGGCTGGGTAAAGATTGTGTAGGATCTTGATCCATTTGTCCCTTGGCATTGTTAGGAGGTCTAGATCCGTCTGGAATAGACCTATGAACTGGAGTCGGTAGGCTGGGGTCAGTTCCATCTTGCCCTTGTTCATCATCAAACCCAGTTGATATAGTAGACGCCTGATGAAATCCTGGTAACCGGTTAGGATCACAGCAACTAGATGATTCAGTATGCAGTTGTCTATGTACGACTCGAATCAGATGTTCCTCAGGTAAAAATCGGTGGCTTATTGGCTTTGTAAGGTGGGTAAAAAGCAACGGGTCCACTGAAAACCAAATGGTAGGACCACCCTATGGTAGTAGATACCACTGAACTGGAACCTGAGGAACCGCCAGTCGCAAGGTTATTAATTACCCCTGTGGGATTGATGGGAGCCTTGGCCTTCAAGGCTTGGCCTCTGCCCTTGCCTTGTCCTTTGCCACGAAAGGAGGACGGATAGGTAGTCTGATCCTTAAGGGATGAGTGCCTTGGTTGATATTTGCCTGACTACGTACGTTGACCAAGGTTCTTGGATACATGCCCCAGAGCCTTGAGTGCTCGTAACTTGAGACCCTGGGGGCGTGTCAGTAATCTGGCCACTGAAAAGCTGACGAATCCCAGTTGGACAAGGCCAGATACCCCTGATTGTGGGTGGCGGTCAACTCAGTTAAGGTCACCTTATGGTGATTGCGCAAATGGTCAATCTGCCTCTGTTGGAAATCCAAGGCTGTCTGGATGTGATCTTTCCTGTTGGTATTGGTCTCGGTGAGGTTAGGTCCATCCATAGGTGGGGAGATGATGAGTCTAATGCCGACAAGGGTTTAAGGGACGGCCTGATCTCTGTTTCTATGAAGGAGAAACAGTTGTTAGGGATCTTGAAAGGCTTGGACGAACCTGTCATCCTATGGAGATCCTCTTCCAAGCTGGGAGTATGCTCTGCCACCCTGGAGCCATGTACAGGAAAAATCATCCCTTCTAAACTTAAACGCCTAAACGCTGGTGTGAGGGTCAATTGAAAAAAGTCCTCATCCAACGCCCTGAGCATATCCTTCAACATGGAGTCAGGTGGGATGGAAGTCGGGTGAGACCAAATATTGTCTGTCTTGTCGACACCCGAGCCAGAGGAAGGCACTACCGCTAATAGACGGTCAGCCATCCAGTCTAACATCTGGGCAAGACCAAGGTGCGTATCCCAATTCGCATGGCTGTCGAAGGACAAACGACACCTCAGAGGAGTCTGATAAATAAAGCTCTGAATGGCGGACGGGATAGCGGCTCCTGAATGTCGTTTGTACTTAGTCGCCCTGGAGTATCATTTGGAGGCTGTGTTGGGAGATAAATGAATCCCAGGCGCAGCCATAGACGTGGATGGGACTCAGGCAGTCGCCAATGTCTGTTGAGCAGGAGACGCCAGCGCTTGGGAAATTGCACGATTTTAGTTCACAGAATTGAAAAACTTTCTACAGCTGATGCTATTTTTGGGGTGATAAATTAAATAGAAGGAAATCAACCTAAATATTATTTTTGGGCAAGTGGTGTAGATTAGACTTACTTCCACTGAATTCAGCTCTGAAGCCAAGTGCATTGCTGCTGCTGTCGGTGGTGAATTTGACGATGATGAAGTTGTTGAAGCTGGTGAAGTCAGGGAGACTGGCCTGCCTATCCCCGGACAGGGTGGCCACAAGCTGCCCCTGGGTCTCAGTCTGTCCTCCAACCAACACTTGCACTATATCAGCCCCAATCTCCGTGGAGAAGTTGGTGAACTGTTACAGGGACACAAACACAATATCACTGAAGTAATAGAAGAAATGAAGGTAAAGAGGTAACTAACAATTGGGAGCAAATGGAGTCTAGGGGTTGTGCCTTTGAAGTAAACAGCTTAATCACAATGAGATATTTAAACTATCGTTTTATACCACTTCTATTAGTATTTCAGTCATTCCATGGCAGACCACGTTAAGAAATGGTCTCACACATTGTACTGCTATTGGAGTCATTATTTGCACAGGGTGTAGCATATTTGGGAATCAGAGGTGCCAATTTGTAAAAATACTTGCCACTGGTACATTCATTTGGTTGTGACTGGTAGTAGTAGTAGTACTTGTGCCGACAACAATCCCCCCAACTTTAACACTTGGAATCTCGCTGCATAATAGCCTCTAATAAATCATGTTTGATAATACACTCATGATATCTGTGGTTGTTACAGAAATAGACCATTTTAAGGTTCTTCTCGTTAAACTCTCCGTGCTCATTCAACAAGAAGCATCTTTTCTACTGCACAAACATGTCAGTTGACAAGCTAGATAAATTGGTAGATTTATGTATTCAAATATTTCCCACATACTCTGAGATAAACATTCTGTCCAAGCGGGACGTGGATCACCCACTGACAGTTCCTAGCATCTGGGTAGTTGCTTGGGTAGTTGTTGGAGCTGATTGAGCCTGCAGCTTGGTTAAAGTAGTACTTGCATCGACTAGCTGGAAGAGACAGATGGTTACATGAGAACACATGATGTCATATATCACCTCATACAACGGTAATACTGGGAAAAGATACATACGAAAGATAATAATGTACAAACAGAACCAGTTTGAATATAAAAATATTACTGTTGGCGTGTTAGCACACATTTATTGTTTCAAGAAAAGAATTCTTGTCTCTGGAATTTGTTCAGATATCCGGCAAAATAACAAAGGTACTGACACTAGATATCAAGCGAATTTCTAAGTCAGTGGACACTCTGCAAAACAAATCAAACTGCTAGGCTAGAATTCTTGATCTATTTTCCATATCTACAAATACAAATTACGAATATGAATCGATAATGTTACGGTAAGTGTAGAGTGAAGATGCACAGAAGCCAACATCAAGTACTTTGTGGTCATTTTTAAATCCGAAAATTATGAAGAAATAATTAACTGTTTTTCACATGTTTGAATTAAATTTAGTAATGGATAAAATGTCAAGAGCTGCGTACCCTCATTTTCTAGCCTACCAGATCCTATTTTAGCGACTATAAGACAGTCACCACACTGACAGAATATTTGCCATAAGAACCACACAAAAATATAAATTACCATGCAGTTTTCATCCTAGAAAGTTGTAACATTTGTTCCTCTCAAAGACATGTATGAAGAACATAAATAAGCTGAATATTTCTCAACTCGCTATACCAAGCAGACGACAGCGGACTGGGAATAGCAGTACAAGAACACAATTGTTTAGGGGGTGATCAAGGGTAGATAACTCTAAATTGCAAATAATGTGCATTGGAGTACATGACACGATGGAACACCTGTTCAAATCTCTCCTAATGTTTTGACAAAGTATATTTGTTGTTTCGTATAATTTCCCCCAAACTCTTATTGTTATATTGTTATTTTAGTATCCCCTTTGATACGTATTCCTGTAGGCTAAGTATATTTTTCCTGCAAGGTTCTTAGAAACTGACACGATTATTATATATTATTTGTGTTTCTTTAACAGTTTTCAAACTTCACTTTTTGATGTAAAAATATTTTGTTTCAGCAGTTTTATTATTGGTTTTGAGTTTTCGGACAGTTTTTAGTGTATATTTTGGTTGAATGTTGTCAACAGGAGCATATGCAGTATAGAATATAACTACTTGATGACTTTATCGCGCGTATCCAAACCATTGGCTAATTACGTCCGTAACTTAATCATGTTAATCACCCCTTGTAACTGAATCACCCCCGGGTCAGCACCCTGCACCGTGCTCAGGGCAAAAGATCCCGTGCAAGCGCCATCCCTTTGTTCCATCTCTATAGTCCACCATTCGCGCAGAGTACACACATGTTTTGCTGTAACTAATCGCTTTCTCAATCACTCACCACTCCACTAAAATAGTCAAGACTTACATTGCAGCGCTGGCTTCACAGCGCAGATTCTGCGGGCTCACCGATTGAACACATTTCCTGGTGGGCAAGCTTTTCACAGGCTTACACAAATCAGCCACATCAGCAGCCTTGAACGGTGTGCCTGAACACCTCATACAGCAATATGGAAGGTGGAAGTCAGATTGCTACAATGCTTACGTACTCTTACCAACAAATTTAATGCTACCAATCTAATTTAAATATTCTATTCACGGTTCTTACTACACTTCATATCGTTTACAGTTTGGATGGTGGGCTCCAGCTACATGGCCAGGTCACGGCAGTACTTGTTTCTGAAGTGCTCCAGTCAGGACCAACCGAGAATGCCGTGGTTGGCACGAGGGGGAATGAGGTGGAAGGAGCTGGACACCATCCTTGATGCACAGGTCAAGGCGACACGGCGCAGCCCCAGAGCCCTCATCATCCACCTGGGCTCCAACGACCTGTGCTTGGTCAAGGGCAGCTAACTCTATCTTGACATGGTGGACTCCAGCTTCCTGACGCCAGGATCATCATATCCTCAATGCTGCCCAGGCGCTAGTGTCATGATACCAGGGATCCAATACAGATTGAGGGGAAGCGGAAGAATATAAACCGCAGGCTAGCCAACGGCGTCAAAGAGCTCGATGGTACAATAGTGCCACATCCCCAGATCCTGGCATCAGACAAGACATGGTGCTTTGTGGCGGGGTTCTTGTGGGCTACACTGCTAGTAAAAAAATAACCTTCTTCCAAATTAATACTCGCGCTAAAGGCTACCTGTTTTTCAGCGGGAACCTTTCCGGGGTGACCTAGCTGCTTCTCAGTGGGAACCTCGTCTTTCCCGACATTTCATCTGTTGAAGTGTAAAATAGCTTACGTTGGGCAACCAATTGCCACGTATGGTGGCCCGGCGGCGGGAGACAGTTGGGCCGGCAGCGGTATTCGCATATCGCGCGATAAATGATCTATCATTACCAGATCGAATCATAAAACGAACAGGACACAAACTTAAAAGAGGCTTTACAAGCATTACGCTCTTACCACAGTTCATTTCATCAGAGGCATCTCCACAGTCATCGTCTCCATCACAGACCAGGTTCTGGTTTATACATTGGCCATTAGTACAATGGTAGCTCCCTAAAACACAAAATAAATAAATAGTCATCGTCTCCATCACAGACCAGGTTCTGGTTTATACATTGGCCATTAGTACAATGGTAGCTCCCTAAAACACAAAATAAATAAATAGTCATCGTCTCCATCACAGACCAGGTTCTGGTTTATACATTGGCCATTAGTACAATGGTAGCTCCCTAAAACACAAAATAAATAAATAGTCATTGTCTCCATCATAGACCAGGTTCTGGTTTATACATTGGCCATTAGTACAATGGTAGTTCCCTAAAAACACAAAATAAATAAATAGTCATCGTCTCCATTACAGACCAGGTTCTGGTTTATACATTGGCCATTAGTATAATGGTAGCTTTCTAAAACACCAAATAAATAGTCATCGTCTCCATCACAGACCAGGTTCAGGTTTATACATTGGCCATTAGTACAATGGTAGCTCCCTAAAACACAAATAAATAGTCATCGTCTCCATCACAGACCAGGTTCTGGTTTATACATTGACCATTAGTACAATGGTAGCTCCCTAAAACACCAAATAAATAGTCATCGTCTCCATCACAGACCAGGTTCTGGTATATACATTGACCATTAGTACAATGGTAGCTCCCTAAAACACAAAATAAATAAATAGTCATCGTCTCCATCACAGACCAGGTTCTGGTATATACATTGGCCATTAGTACAATGGTAGCTCCCTAAAACACCAAATAAATAGTCATCGTCTCGTTCACAGACCAGGTTCTGTTATATACATTGGCCATTAGTACAATGGTAGCTCCCTCAAAAACAAAATACATAAACAGTGATTTTCTCCATCACAGACCAGGTTCTGGTATATACATTGGCCATTAGTACAATGGTAGCTCCCTAAAAAACAAAATAAATAGTCATCATCTCCATCACAGACCAGGTTCTGGTTGTACATTGGCCATTAGTACAATGGTAGCTCCCTAAAACACCAAATAAATAAATAGTCATCGTCTCCATCACAGACCAGGTTCTGGTTTAAACATTGGCCATTAGTACAATGGTAGCTCCCGAAAACACCAAATAAATATTCATCGTCTCCATCACAGACCAGGTTCAGGTATATAAATTGGCCATAAGTACAATGGTAGCTCCCTAAAACACAAAATAAATAGTCATCGTCTCCATCACAGACCAGGTTCTGGTATATACATTGGCCATTAGTACAATGGTAGCTCCCTAAAACACAAAATAAATAGTCATCGTCTCCATCACAGACCAGGTTCTGGTTGTATATTGGCCATTAGTACAATGATAGCTCCCTCAAACACAAAATAAATAAATAGTCATCGTCTCCATCACAGACCAGGTTCTGGTATATACATTGGCCATTAGTACAATGGTAGCTCCCTAAAACACAAAATAAATAGTTATCGTCTCAATCACAGACCAGGTTCTGGTATATACATTGGCCATTAGTACAATGGTAGCTCCCTAAAACACAAAATAAATAGTCATCGTCTCCATCACAGACCAGGTTCTGGTTGTATATTGGCCATTAGTACAATGATAGCTCCCTCAAACACAAAATAAATAAATAGTCATCGTCTCCATCACAGACCAGGTTCTGGTATATACATTGGCCATTAGTACAATGGTAGCTCCCTAAAACACAAAATAAATAGTTATCGTCTCAATCACAGACCAGGTTCTGGTATATACATTGGCCATTAGTACAATGGTAGCTCCCTAAAACAACAAATAAATAGATAGTCATCGTCTCCATCACAGACCAGGTTCTGGTATATACATTGGCCATTAGTACAATGGTAGCTCCCTAAAAAACAAAATACATAAACAGTGATCGTCTCCATCACAGACCAGGTTCTGGTTTATACATTGGCCATTAGTACAATGGTAGCTCCCTAAAACACAAAATAAATAGTCATCGTCTCCATCACAGACCAGGTTCTGGTTTATACATTGGCCATTAGTACAATGGTAGCTCCCTAAAACACAAAATAAATAAATAGTCATTGTCTCCATCACAGACCAGGTTCTGGTTTATACATTGGCCATTAGTACAATGGTAGCTCCCTAAAAACACAAAATAAATAAATAGTCATCGTCTCCATCACAGACCAGGTTCTGGTTTATACATTGGCCATTAGTATAATGGTAGCTTTCTAAAACACCAAATAAATAGTCATCGTCTCCATCACAGACCAGGTTCAGGTTTATACATTGGCCATTAGTACAATGGTAGCTCCCTAAAACACCAAATAAATAGTCATCGTCTCCATCACAGACCAGGTTCTGGTTTATACATTGACCATTAGTACAATGGTAGCTCCCTAAAACACAAAATAAATAGTCATCGTCTCCATCACAGACCAGGTTCTGGTATATACATTGACCATTAGTACAATGGTAGCTCCCTAAAACACCAAATAAATAAATAGTCATCGTCTCCATCACAGACCAGGTTCTGGTATATACATTGGCCATTAGTACAATGGTAGCTCCCTAAAACACAAAATAAATAGTCATCGTCTCGTTCACAGACCAGGTTCTGTTATATACATTGGCCATTAGTACAATGGTAGCTCCCTAAAAAACAAAATACATAAACAGTGATTTTCTCCATCACAGACCAGGTTCTGGTTTATACATTGGCCATTAGTACAATGGTAGCTCCCTAAAACACAAAATAAATTGTCATCATCTCCATCACAGACCAGGTTCTGGTTGTACATTGGCCATTAGTACAATGGTAGCTCCCTAAAACACCAAATAAATAAATAGTCATCGTCTCCATCACAGACCAGGTTCTGGTTTATACATTGGCCATTAGTACAATGGTAGCTCCCGAAAACACCAAATAAATAGTCATCGTCTCCATCACAGACCAGGTTCAGGTATATACATTGGCCATTAGTACAATGGTAGCTCCCTAAAACACAAAATAAATAGTCATCGTCTCCATCACAGACCAGGTTCAGGTATATACATTGGCCATTAGTACAATGGTAGCTCCGTAAAACACAAAATAAATAGTCATCGTCTCCATCACAGACCAGGTTCTGGTTGTATATTGGCCATTAGTACAATGATAGCTCCCTAAAACACAAAATAAATAAATAGTCATCGTCTCCATCACAGACCAGGTTCTGGTATATACATTGGCCATTAGTACAATGGTAGCTCCCTAAAACACAAAATAAATAGTTATCGTCTCCATCACAGACCAAGTTCTGGTATATACATTGGCCATTAGTACAATGGAAGCTTCCTAAAACACCAAATAAATAGTCATCGTCTCCATCACAGACCAGGTTCTGGTATATACATTGGCCATTAGTACAATGGTAGCTCCCTAAAAAACAAAATACATAAACAGTGATCGTCTCCATCACAGACCAGGTTCTGGTATATACATTGGCCATTAGTACAATGGTAGCTCCCTAAAACAACAAATAAATAGATAGTCATCGTCTCCATCACAGGCCAGGTTCTGGTATATACATTGGCCATTAGTACAATGGTAGCTCCCTAAAAAACAAAATACATAAACAGTGATCGTCTCCATCACAGACCAGGTTCTGGTTTATACATTGGCCATTAGTACAATGGTAGCTCCCTAAAACACCAAATAAATAGTCATCATCTCCATCACAGACCAGGTTCTGGTTGTACATTGGCCATTAGTATAATGGTAGCTCCCTAAAACACAAAATAAATAAATAGTCATCGTCTCCATCACAGACCAGGTTCTGGTATATACATTGGCCATTAGTACAATGGTAGCTCCCTAAAACACAAAATAAATAGTCATCGTCTCCATCACAGACCAGGTTCTGGTTTATACATTGGCCATTAGTACAATGGTAGCTCCCTAAAACACAAAATAAATAAATAGTCATTGTCTCCATCACAGACCAGGTTCTGGTTTATACATTGGCCATTAGTACAATGGTAGCTCCCTAAAAACACAAAATAAATAAATAGTCATCGTCTCCATCACAGACCAGGTTCTGGTTTATACATTGGCCATTAGTATAATGGTAGCTTTCTAAAACACCAAATAAATAGTCATCGTCTCCATCACAGACCAGGTTCAGGTTTATACATTGGCCATTAGTACAATGGTAGCTCCCTAAAACACCAAATAAATAGTCATCGTCTCCATCACAGACCAGGTTCTGGTTTATACATTGACCATTAGTACAATGGTAGCTCCCTAAAACACAAAATAAATAGTCATCGTCTCCATCACAGACCAGGTTCTGGTATATACATTGACAATTAGTACAATGGTAGCTCCCTAAAACACCAAATAAATAAATAGTCATCGTCTCCATCACAGACCAGGTTCTGGTATATACATTGGCCATTAGTACAATGGTAGCTCCCTAAAACACAAAATAAATAGTCATCGTCTCGTTCACAGACCAGGTTCTGTTATATACATTGGCCATTAGTACAATGGTAGCTCCCTCAAAAACAAAATACATAAACAGTGATTTTCTCCATCACAGACCAGGTTCTGGTTTATACATTGGCCATTAGTACAATGGTAGCTCCCTAAAACACAAAATAAATTGTCATCATCTCCATCACAGACCAGGTTCTGGTTGTACATTGGCCATTAGTACAATGGTAGCTCCCTAAAACACCAAATAAATAAATAGTCATCGTCTCCATCACAGACCAGGTTCTGGTTTATACATTGGCCATTAGTACAATGGTAGCTCCCTAAAACACCAAATAAATAGTCATCGTCTCCATCACAGACCAGGTTCTGGTTTATACATTGACCATTAGTACAATGGTAGCTCCCTAAAACACAAAATAAATAGTCATCGTCTCCATCACAGACCAGGTTCTGGTATATACATTGACAATTAGTACAATGGTAGCTCCCTAAAACACCAAATAAATAAATAGTCATCGTCTCCATCACAGACCAGGTTCTGGTATATACATTGGCCATTAGTACAATGGTAGCTCCCTAAAACACAAAATAAATAGTCATCGTCTCGTTCACAGACCAGGTTCTGTTATATACATTGGCCATTAGTACAATGGTAGCTCCCTCAAAAACAAAATACATAAACAGTGATTTTCTCCATCACAGACCAGGTTCTGGTTTATACATTGGCCATTAGTACAATGGTAGCTCCCTAAAACACAAAATAAATTGTCATCATCTCCATCACAGACCAGGTTCTGGTTGTACATTGGCCATTAGTACAATGGTAGCTCCCTAAAACACCAAATAAATAAATAGTCATCGTCTCCATCACAGACCAGGTTCTGGTTTATACATTGGCCATTAGTACAATGGTAGCTCCCGAAAACACCAAATAAATATTCATCGTCTCCATCACAGACCAGGTTCAGGTATATACATTGGCCATTAGTACAATGGTAGCTCCCTAAAACACCAAATAAATAGTCATCGTCTCCATCACAGACCAGGTTCTGGTATATACATTGGCCATTAGTACAATGGTAGCTCCCTAAAACACAAAATAAATAGTTATCGTCTCCATCACAGACCAAGTTCAGGTATATACATTGGCCATTAGTACAATGGTAGCTTCCTAAAACACCAAATAAATAGTCATCGTCTCCATCACAGACCAGGTTCTGGTATATACATTGGCCATTAGTACAATGGTAGCTCCCTAAAAAACAAAATACATAAACAGTGATCGTCTCCATAACAGACCAGGTTCTGGTATATACATTGGCCATTAGTACAATGGCAGCTCCCTAAAACAACAAATAAATAGATAGTCATCGTCTCCATCACAGACCAGGTTCTGGTATATACATTGGCCATTAGTACAATGGTAGCTCCCTAAAAAACAAAATACATAAACAGTGATCGTCTCCATCACAGACCAGGTTCTGGTTTATACATTGGCCATTAGTACAATGGTAGCTCCCTAAAACACCAAATAAATAGTCATCATCTCCATCACAGACCAGGTTCTGGTTGTACATTGGCCATTAGTATAATGGTAGCTCCCTAAAACAAAAAATAAATAAATAGTCATCGTCTCCATCACAGACCAGGTTCTGGTATATACATTGGCCATTAGTACAATGGTAGCTCCCTAAAACACAAAATGAAATAGTCATCGTCTCCATCACAGACCAGGTTCTGGTTTATACATTGGCCATTAGTACAATGGTAGCTCCCTAAAACACAAAATAAATAATCATCGTCTCCATCACAGACCAGGTTCTTGTTTATACATTGACCATTAGTACAATGGTAGCTCCCTAAAAACAAAATAAATAAATAGTCATCGTCTCCATCACAGACCAGGTTCTGGTTTATACATTGGCCATTAGTACAATGGTAGCTCCCTAAAACACCAAATAAATAGTCATCATCTCCATCACAGACCAGGTTCTGGTTGTACATTGGCCATTAGTATAATGGTAGCTCCCTAAAACAAAAAATAAATAAATAGTCATCGTCTCCATCACAGACCAGGTTCAGGTTTATACATTGGCCATTAGTACAATGGTAGCTCCCTAAAATACAAAATAAATAAACGTCTCCATTACAGACCAGGTTCTGGTTTATACATTGGCCATTAGTACAATGGTAGCTCCCTAAAACACAAAATAAATAGTCATCGTCTCCATCACAGACCAGGTTCTGGTATATACATTGACCATTAGTACAATGGTAGCTCCCTAAAAACAAAATAAATAAATAGTCATCGTCTCCATCACAGACCAGGTTCTGGTTTATACATAGGCCATTAGTACAATGGTAGCTCCCTAAAACACAAAATAAATAGTCATCGTCTCCATCACAGACCAGGTTCTGGTTTATACATTGGTCATAAGTACAATGGTAGCTCCCTCAAAAACAAAATAAATTAATAGTCATCGTCTCCATCACAGACCAGGTTCTGGTATATACATTGGCCATTAGTACAATGGTAGCTCCCTAAAACACAAAATAAATAGTCATCGTCTCCATCACAGACCAGGTTCTGGTTTATACATTGGCCATTAGTACAATGGTAGCTCCCTAAAACACAAAATAAATAGTCATCGTCTCCATCACAGACCAGGTTCTGGTATATACATTGGCCATTAGTACAATGGTAGCTCCCTAAAAAACAAAATACATAAACAGTGATCGTCTCCATCACAGACCAGGTTCTGGTATATACATTGGCCATTAGTACAATGGTAGCTCCCTAAAACAACAAATAAATAGATAGTCATCGTCTCCATCACAGACCAGGTTCTGGTATATACATTGGATATTAGTGCAATGGTAGCTCCCTTAAACACAAAATAAATAGTCATCGTCTCCATCACAGACCAGGTTCTGGTTGTACATTGGCCATAAGTACAATGGTAGCTCCCTTAAACACGAAATAAATAAATAGTCATCGTCTCCATCACAGACCAGGTTCTGGTATATACATTGGCCATTAATACAATGGTAGCTCCCTAAAACACAAAATATATAAAGAGTCATCATCTCCATCACAGACCAGATTCTGGTTTATACATTGGCCATCAGTACAATGGTAGCTCCCTAAAACACAAAATATATAGTCATCGTCTCCATCACAGACCAGGTTCTGGTATAGACATTGGCCATAAGTACAATGGTAGCTCCCTAAAACACAAAATAGATAAATTGTCATCGTCTCCATCACAGACCAGGTTCTGGTATATACATTGGCCATTAGTACAATGGTAGCTCCCTAAAACACAAAATAGATAAATTGTCATCGTCTCCATCACAGACCAGGTTCTGGTATAAACATTGGCCATTAGTACAATGGTAGATCCGTAAAACACAAAATAGATAAATTGTCATCATCTCCATCACAGACCAGATTCTGGTTTATACATTGGCCTTTAGTCCAATGGTAGCTCCCTAAAACACAAAATAAATAAATAGTCATCGTCTCCATCACAGACCAGGTTCTGGTTTATACATTGGCCATCAGTACAATGGTAGCTCCCTAAAACACAAAATAAATAAATAGTCTGTCTCCATCACAGACCAGTTTCTTGTTTATAAATTGGCCATTAGTACAATGGTAGCTCCCTAAAACACAAAATATATAAAGAGTCATCATCTCCATCACAGACCAGATTCTGGTTTATACATTGGCCTTTAGTCCAATGGTAGCTCCCTAAAACACAAAATAAATAAATAGTCATCGTCTCCATCACAGACCAGGTTCTGGTTTATACATTGGCCATCAGTACAATGGTAGCTCCCTAAAACACAAAATAAATAAATAGTCTGTCTCCATCACAGACCAGTTTCTTGTTTATAAATTGGCCATTAGTACAATGGTAGCTCCCTAAAACACAAAATAAATTGTCATCGTCTACATCACAGACCAGGTTCTGGGTTTATACACTGGCCATTAGTACAATGGTAGCTCCCTAAAACACAAAATATATAGTCATCGTCTCCATCACAGACCAGGTTCTGGTATAGACATTGGCCATAAGTACAATGGTAGCTCCCTAAAACACAAAATAGATAAATTGTCATCGTCTCCATCACAGACCAGGTTCTGGTTGTACATTGGCCATTAGTACAATGGTAGCTCCCTTAAACACAAAATAAATAAATAGTAATCGTCAACATCACAGACCAGGTTCTGGTATATACATTGGCCTTTAATACAATGATAGCTCCCTAAAACACAAAATATATAAAGAGTCATCATCTCCATCACAGACCAGATTCTGGTTTATACATTGGCCTTTAGTCCAATGGTAGCTCCCTTAAACACAAAATAAATAAATAGTCATCGTCTCCATCACAGACCAGGTTCTGGTTTATACATTGGCCATCAGTACAATGGTAGCTCCCTAAAACACAAAATAAATTAATAGTCTGTCTCCATCACAGACCAGTTTCTTGTTTATAAATTGGCCATTAGTACAATGGTAGCTCCCTAAAACACAAAATAAATTGTCATCGTCTACATCACAGACCAGGTTCTGGGTTTATACACTGGCCATTAGTACAATGGTAGCTCCCTAAAACACAAAATAGATAAATTGTCATCGTCTCCATCACAGACCAGGTTCTGGTATAGACATTGGCCATAAGTACAATGGTAGCTCCCTAAAACACAAAATAGATAAATTGTCATCGTCTCCATCACAGACCAGGTTCTGGTATAAACATTGGCCATTAGTACAATGGTAGCTCCCTAAAACACAAAATAGATAAATTGTCATCGTCTCCATGACAGACCAGGTTCTGGTATATACATTGGCCATTAGTACAATGGTAGCTCCCTTAAACACCAAAATGAACTAAATGAAGTATGCACTATTTTGAATACTGTACTTGATATAATAAATGTTCTGAACAAAGTAACAAGATGGCTGTCATGATGTATCATATGATAATTATAGCCTCCATTCGTGTAGAGATGTCCTTACCAGATGGACAAGCTGGTCTCTGACAAACGTACGACAACTTCATTTCACAAGGACCAAATGACCAATAATATCTGTCCATTTTCTTCATGACGTAGACACATTTTCCCATTTTGTCAGAATCCGGTTGATCATTATCCCAGAAACCTGCTGCAATTGATGTTTCTTGACCGTCGCTCCAATATCCTATCAGCTGATTGACAGGGGAGGCCTCTCTTCGAGTGAAACCTGGCAGAAAGGGGAGACAATCACTGATTGAGTGAATGAGTGTTTTTATTTGGGCTTCGTGCCTGCAAGGCAGAAGACCTATTGTAATTGATAGGATTATTATTATTTATTATTCCGCAGGTTTTTTTTAACCAGAGCTAAAGAAAACTACCAGTGGCTATACTCGCTCCAAAATCAACAGCAACATGGAAACCAGTGTGAAGCAGATACCAGCAAAACCCTAAGACCATAGGCCGAATGGCTAAGGGCAGATAACTCATCAAAGTTTCAACTTCAGCAGCAATAATCTTCGAAACTAATTGTCCAATGACTTCCAGATTTGCATGCGGCAGTGCAATCAGATGCCCATCATTTTGTACTGCAGGACCATGGTAGCTTCAACGCACCGTTTTGCAGCCATATTGGATTGAAGCTTTTCGACATGCATTTTAGCATCTAAGCAATGCGACAGGTCCTTGGGGTTCTGACAAACTCAGAACACTAATCCGTTTGACTCTAGCACCAAGGACAAGGAAGTGACCGCGTGTTGAAGAGGGAACTCTTTGGCCCCTCTCATAAACTTGATTTATGTCCCCCGAAACACTGAGGGTCATGCTGTGGTTATGTTTTGACTGTAGGACCCCATCGCAGCTCTCGGCTAGAAACGGGCTGCGCCTGGTACATTGCATTGTTGCCCATGTAGTGTATAACCGCCCCGACACTGTTCTCGGCTGCAGCTGTTGATACTGGCGGCGGTCGTATTGGCGGGCAATGCGGTCTCAAATTGCAGGGCAAGCAAATAGAGTTACCACATTAAAAATGCCAAACTGGATCATCGCCAAAACTGATAATTTTTTCTCACTCAAAACGGACCAGTTAAATATCACATTGCTCATAAAGACCATATAATAATCAGATACAGTAGTGCAGATGTCCTTCCTGATACCGGAAATGACTTATCAGACAACAGGAAATGCTTTCTAACCTACGGCCATTAAGAACTCGGCTTCATTGTTTCAGTTCTCTGTGTAACACAAGTGAGATAGTGTGCATGGACTTCCACGAATTTAAACCACAATCCGCAACTGTAGTTCAGTGAAGCAAGAAGCCCAACATCGCTGCTTGGATCTATATTTAACATTGCAGTCATATTATTTCCGGAGAACATCAATGTTAAGAATGCAAATCAGACGGTTTTGCAGACATATGACTATTCTTTGATTTTGAATTATTCCTCAAAAGATGTGAATCAGTTGTGGTCACAAGAAACTGAGGGTGTCTCGAGCTATATTCAACAATCTTTTATATTTTTATGTTTTATAAGGAAAGTTAGCTACATAATGAAATATTTAAATTAGCATATATCTGGCATCAAGAAGAGGGCAACATACAAGTGGTCAAGTATTTGAGGCAGGTCAAATATTTAACGTAAAAGGATTTCATGTATCTTTCCTTCTATTAGAAAGTGAGTATTGATTTACGCTGCTTTTAGCAATATTCCAGCAAGATCACAGCAATTATTCCTCCTATTAAAATGTCTCTAAATAGTTTTGGGTACTTAATGGTATATTTCTAAGTTACTGTTAGGGATCAATAAGACCAGACATCTAGGGCCTTGCCCGGTCCAAGAGATATAATGAAAAGGAACGTTTTTGAATGCATTTTCTAAGCACATGTAATGCACGTTGACATTGATACAGTAAGATTGATTTTTGACTCATTCACACATTATCCACGCACCTGCTGTACTAAAACAAGTATTTCTTTTTTGTTGTTTTAGTTAGAAAAACATGACCTTAAATCTTAATGAAGATATCAATATATACCCATACTATATGTTAACTAATTGCCTTATTGCAAGCGTATTAAGAACAAAATACAAGTTTAAACTCGGAATGTTTTACAAATTGCAACGCCATCTGACGTTCTTTATTGTCAACCTCTTTTCGTGCTCACTGACGTTCTTTATTGTCAACCTCTTTTCGTGCTCACTGACGTTCTTTATTGTCAACCTCCTTTCGTGCTCACTGACGTTCTTTATTGTCAACCTCCTTTCGTGCTCACTGACGTTCTTTATTGTCAACCTCTTTTCGTGCTCACTGACGTTCTTTATTGTCAACCTCCTTTCGTGCTCACTGACGTTCTTTATTGTCAGCCTCTTTTCGTGCTCACTGACGTTCTTTATTGTCAACCTCCTTTCGTGCTCACTGACGTTCTTTATTGTCAACCTCCTTTCGTGCTCACTGACGTTCTTTATTGTCAACCTCCTTTCGTGCTCACTGACGTTCTTTATTGTCAACCTCTTTTCGTGCTCACTGACGTTCTTTATTGTCAACCTCCTTTCGTGCTCACTGACGTTCTTTATTGTCAACCTCTTTTCGTGCTCACTGACGTTCTTTATTGTCAACCTCCTTTCGTGCTCACTGACGTTCTTTATTGTCAACCTCTTTTCGTGCTCACTGACGTTCTTTATTGTCAACCTCTTTTCGTGCTCACTGACGTTCTTTATTGTCAACCTCCTTTCGTGCTCACTGACGTTCTTTATTGTCAACCTGTTTTCGTGCTCACTGACGTTCTTTCGAACACATTGTTCTTTCTTTTCTTATGGCGTCTTTTCGTAACATTTGACTATTGATATTGCGTAATTTTGACCTTTATTTCAACTTTGTATTTGTTTAACCGGCATCTGTTTGTTTTGTATTTTGACCTTTATTAGTAACATTTAGTTCTTTATTCGTAATATTTGACCTTTATTGCGTATTTTTATCCTTTTTTTCAACTTGGTATTTTTTTACCGAATGGTCGCAAATACATGGCGGCAATGCAATAGGAGTTTGTTTGCTTGTTTTGCCGTTTGTTAATTTGGTCAATAAAAACATGAAATTTACGATAAAACATCACGAGACATCATGATTTTCAAATTCAAAGGTGTTTGTGTACTGTATGCCGGACAATGTTTCATACGCAGAGATTAAGATTACATGCGTATTTGTCTCGTAAAATAAGCCGGAAATAGCAATCAGCTGTTGACACAATCATTTTCTCCCCGGTCCATGGGTGATTTAGGTTTAAAAATACTTAATGTCATGGCCATTATCATAACTGAAAATAATTTTCATAGGGATTGATAGGAAGATTTTGCATCTCTAACGACTAATGCTCGTTTCAAGCGAGTTCACAGTGAGTTGATGTGATAAGGTGACTTGCCGATCAAAAACACTTGAATGAAGTCTTGGAGAAAAGTAATATAATGGATTACAAACGCATGTCGAGATACACAATGAACGCTTTTATCGCCAGATAGTGAAATAATAGGACTAACTTGCGTATTTGCAAGTTATGTTTGAGAATCCAATTGGTGTTAATTCCACTTCTCTCAAATACTTTCTGCGAATTTAAAGAAAGTCCTTCTCTGATTGGTGTTAATATTTGTGACAGGGATTTGGTGGTACATTAGGCTGATAACTCTCTTTGTACAGATTTTGTAAGGCTTTGGAATCCAGGACCAAAGAGAAATGAACAAAGTCATGTCTTCAGGTTTCATCGTCAAAAGTCAAAAGTTGATAGTAGTTATGCGTGGTTTGGGCATATTTCTTCATAAGTTTTAACATATTTTAACATATCTTATGGTTTCCTCCATTGACATTAATGTTTTAAACAAGTATCAGGTTTTTTTGGACGAGATTGACGAAATAAAAGTGATATTGCTAAGAGTAAGTTTTAAATAAACTACGTTGAAGAAATATGGGCATGGTGTTCAAAGTAAATATATAATTACATATTACATCTTAACATTATTATAATTTGGGTAAATCGTTTGGCTATGGACTAACTAAAAAACACTATCCAACTTACCAATCCAATACTTGGCTGTACTGAGACTGCTTGCGAAATTGCCAATATCCTGGTTTTCATAAAAATCTGTGACTTTTGCCATTTCAGACCCATAGCTATACAGGAAATAAAAATACCTATACTAATATATATTCAACATATATAGCTTCTCTGACTCTAAAACCCCTCACAATGCAGATTTTCAAATGTTTATATTTGAATCACCACCAAGCATTAACAATTACTGATTACCTGTCCCCTTGGACATATTATGTAAGATCCAAACCTTTTCTTATAGATAATATAGAAATCATTTTTGTATGTAGGAAATGTAGTCAAACTTGGTTTAAGAGTTCAAGATTATACTTGGCTGAGATAAGTACTTGAACATATCAGATATATACAGAAAATGGTACACCAGGTTTGTGTTTATCTGATTCCACAGTGAGAAAGGCAGCATTCTCTATTTGATATTTGTGGGCGAGTGAGTTTGGTTTAACCCACTGTGAAACCCACAAGCACGGGCATGGTGCTGACAAGCCTAGAAGAATAATCGGGGCGAACGGGATTCGAACCCACAACCATACATTTCTGGCGTGCCCAAGGGACGCAACTCTGCACTGCGAATTGCATCGCCTTGGACGACTGGGCCAACCGTTCCCCCATTTGGTATTTGTATGCATCTCAGAACTTATTCCTGTAAATACAATTGTTGGACTTTGTAATGATATGTTTATGCTCATTTAGCAGATGAGTATTAGCATTATGCATATCTTTAGTGACATCTATTAAAACTTATTAAGTAGCAATATCTTACCAGACCCTTCATTAGAATGTAGACAGAATCATGAAGTCATGTACATTCTCATGATTTGTCCAATTTTGTCCTTGTGTTAACTTCTAGCATGACACCTGTCTTACAGGACCTGTTGCAGATGATTTGAATCCGAAATGGAAGAAATATGAGGAGACTTCTCATTTATCTTCAGAAAATCGCAAAATTACTACTTTGACAAATAGTGAAATTCCCTCTATTTGCTTAAATAACTGGGCTACCTTGATTTCTACCCAATCTAAATCTAAATCTGAAATGAGAAATGAGATTTTTTTAAGACACTCACGTTTTACAGATTTTGACAGCACTTTCCCATGGTACGATCCATTTATATAACATGTAACATTGAACACCAATGCGTGTCCAACCTGGAAAAAAAACCCAACAGTTCAGACAAAGCATACCTACTATTGATGTATTGATGTAAGATGTAAGAGGTGCATTGCATTTTTTAAAACATATAACGCATTATTTGTAGTTGATATGAGGTGACTATTTACCCATTCTTAAATAGCCGAGAACATACAAATACCATAAAATAGAAAAAAAACCAACAGTCTTAATTATTGCATTTACATTGTAAACGTTGAAGCATTTCAATTTACCTGATTGGCAATCCAATGGTACATCAACCTGAAAAATAAAACAAATTCTATTTCAGAGGAAATACCTTTTGAGATACTGTACCCTATGGTTTTCGAAATGCATGTAACATTGTACATCCATAAAATACGCATTTACATACTTGCGTATACAGACAATATGTATTCGTTATTTAACACATACTATATTTTATTATAATTACTGATATTTATTGATAAACACTACCGTTAAGTCAGTTTGTTTCAGTGTAAATATCTCTAACACAACTAAGAACTAGTTTCAGCATAAATGTTTGCCAGTTTTCTAAATGCATGTCATCGTCATGGTTGGCCTGGTCCAGATTCTATTATTTACTGGTAGTCGTAATATTGCTAGAGTATCGCTGAGTGTATAGCATTAAACGTCATGCACTCATAACCACGAACATTACACACAGTGTACATTAGCAGGGTTCTACATGTGTATCAGAGCCGTGAATATCCGGGGTAGAATAGGTCTCCAGCAACCCATGCTTGGCGTAAAAAGCGACTATGCTTGTCGTAAGAGACGACTAACGGGATCGGGTGGTCAGGCTCGCCGACTTGGTTGATGCATGTCATCGTATCCCAATTGCGTGGATCGAACAAACAAACATGTGTATCAGCCTAATGTAGACTCACTGATGTTAGTGTCAAAGTGACGTAAGTGCACTCTTTGCATAAATATATATTTGATACGAATAACCGTTCAACTAGTTTAGTTCTGTATATTGTGAAATTACATTACCGTCAAAGCAATTTAACTTATCTCTTATGTTACATGTATGTACACACCAGTCAAGTGTTCCATTGTACAACAACGTAAGATTAGGGAAATTTCGAAACAATGTGTACATGATTAAAAATGCGTTCGCAAAATATATAAGTTTTTTTGTCTTCTGACCCCTGGTTCACTGAGATAAAGGGCTACTTTATCACTTCCCGTTAATTACTGTTATTTATAGTATGACATTTATTGCCTTAATTGTTCATCCCCTGAGTTGTGTCGGTACGTCACCCCCAGAAGTCCCATGTCCAGAGCAACGTCATTGTATTTCCATTGTTCAGTACTATATATGTGCTACCATTACACAGTTACTACGGTGTTAGTCAGGCTTGGTATTCCGAGTGCTGGCATAGGGACGACCTCGAGCAGGATGTGCCGCTCGTAGAAAACGCCCTGTACGCCTGAGCTGGAAGGTCCGCTCATCGCTGTGTTTGTGTTGTCAGAGCAGATATTCCGCTCATTGTGCAATTGTTGTTTATTGTTTACATGTTGTGCATAAAGCGTTCCGGGACAGTGATGTCGATTTTGTCCTTTATTCCCCCAAGAGCTAATTCCCCGTCAACATGCCGACTTCAATGATACAACTTCCTGGATGCTTGTCTGGGTCGAGGCAAACGCGATGTGTTATTGTTTGGGACATGGGCCACTGTGAATATCTTTCAATGTACTGTAGATATTTGAAAAAGCTCATTATCCCTGAACCACCGTGTACACTATTACCAACTCCTTCATTCCTAGATGTAATGGTTACAATATCAAACAATAACATTCAAACAGATGTACATGTATATAAAAAACTAACCGCTATCAAACAATATCCTGCAACTGTTATATAGAGATTACTACAAGTAGTATAGGTAGTGGGGGTTCTACCGCTAAGACGAGAAAAACCACGTCTGGAGCATGCTTGTGCCCAAATCTAAGCTTCTATCGGGTTCATTCGGGTGTTAAGTTTATGTGAATTACGTGATGACTATCCAACGATCGTCATGCGACTAAGCTAAATTGTCATGAAAAGGGGTTCTGGCTCACCACGACCTTGGACCAGGCCTATCAATACTTCTACAGAGGTCTTTTTATGTTAATTATACGATGACGATCCATGGCTGTTCTGACAAATAGGAACAAGTGTTTTCAAGGGTAAGAACAACCAATTAAACAAATGAGAACACAGGTGTATACACATAGGTAAAATGCCTGCAAGAAAAGACAATCCAGAATCAGTATACGAAAAGATACGATCCGGAGAGATAGGGTTCCGGGAGGCCGAAAAGATCCATAGGATTGGGCATGCACGTTACAAGAGGATCCAGCAAGGACAAGAGGTACATTAATCTGCACGAGGTATCCCCCAACCCATTCTATTCTGGAAACGCATGCAGGATTCTAACGGCGAGATCCTCGAAATCTTCTGAGAAGTAATGCTGGGTGCCCCAAACATGTTTCTTACCAAAGAAGAATACAAATTCTAAGCAGAGGCGAGAGAAGGAAACCTTTTCTACAGATTCGTCCATCTACGAGACTTGCCAAGGCAACTTCGTGAACTATATAGGCTACAATATCACTACTTCCTCTCCACGGGTTATATAGAGGACACTGTAGAGATGCAAATCCACACTTCCGAGAAGAAAGGCTACATAGTATACGACAGGCTTTTACTTCCGGAGAATCAACAACAACATCTCAGAAGACCAGATGTCACATGCTGCTGAGGGTCCAAAGACCGTAGCACATTTAGCGAAAAATGTATCCTTGGTCGGCATGTGCCTCTGCCGCAGTCATACCCGAGACGTGCGCTATATACAAGAAACCAACCGAGGACTTTTTGCAGATTCCAAGAGATATTCTTTCCAAAAATGCTATTTGGAAAATCGAAAACAAAGACGGCATGTGCTTATACTTGGTCATTAGAGTAGCAACCCACCTGCGAAATCTCCAGGATAGGTGCGAGTGCGGAAGAGGAGAGTAGCAACCCACCTGCGAAATCTCCAGGATAGGTGCGAGTGCGGAAGAGGGTAAGATTCGACTAGTTGGATCGGGTGGTAAGGCTCGCTGACGTGGTTGATACATGTCATCGATCCCAATTGCGTGGACCGATGCTCACGATATCAATCACTGGATTGTCTGGTTCAGACTCGATTATTTACAGACTGCCGTCATATAGCTGGAATATTGCTGAGTGTGGCGTTAAACAACAAACAAACAAGCAATTCGTATGAGATTAAACTGCTAGAGACATAAATTTAAGGGCAACAAATGTCTCGAGCAACACGCTGACGAATATAAAGACAGCGAACTGCGCCGAACGCCGGACAGCGATGAATAGGGCGGGGCTACGGTCACTGGACACTGGACACTCATCAAGTTGCGAGTGCATGTTCGAATCTCTAGACATTACGTCATCATAGAACGATGTTTGATCGTAAAATATAACATAGCTACGCTATAAGTCGCAAAGAGCGATGAAGAACAAACCACACCCCCACACCCACACACACACCCCCGACCCCATTTGTTCGATCTCCGTTCACGTCATAAAATTCGTAATGAACTGATGAATTGTGTACGGTCTTTTATAGTCAGTGTCTCTACTCTTGTTTCCAACATTTTGCACGTGCATTATGCTGAAAACTTTTTCTGAAAGCATTTTCCGTGCATCCTTTGCATTTTTGCACGTTTACAAAAATCATTTTGAGATGTGCTTGCGCGCAATGCACAACAAACATGACATGATTAATGGGAATCAAACATAAGAATTGTCTTTATGACGATTGCTTGGAAAAAAATCTAATTGGAATTCTCAAAACACCTATGCGTTTATTTTTTTGAAGAGTGTATAATAACGATTTTGTTGATTAAGGGTATGGGATGTTTTACAGTGAGAATCCTTTTTAATATTTTAGGCACACATATTAGAATCTCGAATGGCTCAATTAATACCATAAATAGTAATAGTAATTACATTAGATCCCCGGCTGCGTCATACCAAAAGACGTTAAAAGATGGTACTTATTTTTACCCTGACGGCATTAAGGGGCTAAATCAAGGACTGGTCGGGCATGGCATACTGGTGGGGTATGGCATCTCAGTGGGCTAGCACCATAAATCGGCATCAGTCCGGACTAGTACAAGCAGTAGTGGTCTAGTGGTCATAGGGAAATATATGTGTTCAGATTCTTGAGCACATGAACAGTATATATACTCTTAAAAAAAAGAAACTTAACATAGATGTAAAACCACTTTTTGCCAAATATCTAAAATAATTACATTAAATGAGAACCAAATAAGTCAAACAGAAAGATGCTGTGTCTATAATTCGCGAAAACACATGCAAAGCACATAAACGTAGCGTTTGGGGATCAATTTTACAGCTTCATTCAAACGCAACCGCCTGTAAAAAACGTGCAGCACAGGATCCTGCATTTAGGCATGCAGGTTCTCCTGCTGAATGGGTATAAAAATCCACACCAACGGCTGTTCATACAGTCCTTATAACGGCAGTAGAGGCGGTGACAGAATGCCAAGACTGAATGCAGCTCAACGGAACAACGCCATTGGGAGATTACAAGCTGGAGCAACTCAGCAAGAAGTGGCCAGGCACTTTGGCGTATCCAGACAGACAATCTCAGCACTGTGGACCCGATACAACAACACCAACAGAGTTGACGACAGACAAAGGTCAGGAAGACCAAGGGTGACAACCCAAGCACAAGATCGATACATCCGGCTGCGACACCTCCGAGACCGCACTACCACAGCCACGTCTACAACCACACAGATCCCTGGGGTACGCAGAATATCAGATCAAACGGTACGCAAAAGACTGAGGGAGGCTGGAGTTTTTGCACGAAGACCTGTTCAACGTCATGTATTGACCCAACGTCATGTATTGACCCCACGACATCTGGCGGACCGTCTGCTTTGGTGCCAACAGAGGGTTAGATGGGCACGTGCAAGGTGGAAAAATGTACTGTTTACTGACGAGTCCCGCGCCGTTTCCTACTCACACGTGGATGGGCGCGCACGTGTCTACAGACGTCGGGGTGAACGTTACGCCCCCACCTGTGTGCAGCAGGTTGTCCCATTTGGCGGCGGGAGTGACAAGGTATGGGCCGGAATTCATCACGGTGGTAGGACGCTTCTCGTGCATGTGGCAGGTGCATTGACAGGTGTGCGTTACAAAGACTTGATCCTACAGCCTTACGTTCTTCCTCACGTTAACGTTCATGGCGGACAGTTCAAGCAGGACAACGCTCGACCGCATATTGCACGTGTTTGTCAGGACTTCTTACAGCACAACAACATCCAGACATTACCTTGGCCAGCCCGGTCACCAGATTTGTCCCCGATTGAGCATCTGTGGGACGAGTTGGATCGACGCGTTCGCAGAAGGAATCCCCCCCCCCCCCGCCCCCCCCCCCCCCCCCCCCAACACTTCCGGCGCTTCTTGATGCACTTCAGCATGAATGGCAGCACATCCAACAGCGTGTTATTGACAACTTGATTGCATCTATGGGTCGTCGGTGTCAAGCGGTGATTGATGCACGTGGTGGGCACAACCGATACTGACATTTTCTGTACCCCTGTGACATTAACTGTATCGTGTACGTGTGTCTGTCTAGGTGACACGATTAATGTTTTGAACATTGTGTACATTGATCTTCAAACAGTGTTTCAATTATGGTTTCTGTGTCCTATTTTGAAACAATCGCATTATATTACATTTTGAAAGTCAGTGTCAAGTTTCTTTTTTTGAAGAGTATACATTTAAAAATATTTTAATTGAAGTAATTCACAGTTTTGCAGCTTACTCTTTCACTAAATCTAGATATTAATGATATAATTGTACCATAAAAACAATAATATTTCCATCTATTATCTGCGCAAGATTTAATCCATGAACCTCACATCATAACACCCGAAGGACAAATAAGCGATCTGCGTGAATGCACATCGAAGCGAAACTTGTATGACACGGAAAACACGCCGTAGTAAACCTAACCATATTATAACTACTTGTCTTGCATTATGTGTGTAAAACTTACCTGAACTGATGTCTTCACTGAGATAAACACAAGGGCCGAGACCCACAGAGACACGCCGTGCATGGCTTGGGATAGTCCTTGTCTTGTTTCTACACAATCATTTACATGTACACTAAAGTCCAACTATTATCACAATCGAAATGATACAATATTTGTGCCTATAAGCGTTGTGCTAATTCTTTCACGCTGGCCCTATCCGACACCGTCCGCGGGATACCACGTATAGACTGTAGGCACCTCAGAAGAACAGTCTGCTCAACCGTGACAAGGTATGTGTCGAATGCAAGCCGGCAGACTCTAAAGGGGTGTGTCTGCGTCAGACAACCGTTTGCTACCCATCCTATCACTTTCGTGACCAACTCGTACCATTCCGGGACAAACCGAATGTCGACACGTATGTTGTGCCCTACAGTGGTCTTAAGTCTACAATATTCATTAGTGGGCGTGGCTTGTGTATGCACGTAACACTTATTTCGTACGCACTGCTTCTCACCAAACCCGGAAGTGCATCGTACTGCTGCCGAGTTGTGACAGCACACAGCGTGCAGTGAGACGGCATTGTTTGCGGTACAGCATAACCTGAAGAAACATTCTTTCTTTATCAATCTGTAAACTATCATTATTTTATGCAAAAGTAAGAGGAAATATCTCAAAATGTTTGTAAAACGTTCGTGTATTTTGTAAGCAAGTGTGGTATTTTAAGGAATTTTATTCTCAGAGTTCTGCTCATGACAGTAGATCATGAAGACTGCACCAACTCTATGCATGTCTGCCAAGGGAAGCGTGGGAAACTGTTGCTTTCTGCCACAACTCAGAAAGTTGTTGATGTGTAATTTTATATATGCACAGAATGTCTGATGTGTGACATTATGCTGTACATTTTCATATTGTTATGTGTCAGTTTAGTTGCCTAAAAGTAACCCTCATCATCAGTTGGTGTGTCTGTTTGTAAAACGTTCGTGTATTTTGTAAGCAAGTGTGGTATTTTAAGGAATTTTATTCTCAGTATCACCTTCCACTTTGCCATTGTCTCAAATACTGGAAATTGGGCATTAAAATAGGAAATATTCCTTCTCGTTAGCAGTATGTCATAACTCCCGTATAGCAACGTATATATCAAGTTCCATACCAACTATTATACTATTTTACTCGTGCACTCCCTGTTTCCTTCAACGTTTTCAGTTGTGTCTTTGGATGGTCTAAATATGGACACGATAAATATCCAGTATAACAATAAAATCAAAATTTCAAATTCTAATCCAGGCTTGTAATGTTTATATTCATTACATTAAATATGGTTAAATGTCAGTGGTTTTCATTCCCCATCAGATAGTTTGAAAGAGGACGAGAAAATGATGTCACCCCCACACAAGATGATTGATCAATAACAGTATTGTATATCCACAAAAATTATATTGAATTCGTTTTTGTTTTGTTTGCATGTCTTACCAGTTGGAACTGGCGTTTATTTTGGTGTTCATGTTAGGGTCAGATAAAGTATAATTTTTTTTAGAAAATGGTCCAAATTTTAAGAAACAAAATATGTAAAAATGTGAGACATTATTATTACAGGTCACAGACACACCAACTGATGATGAGGGTTACTTTTAGGCAACTAAACTGACACATAACAATATGAAAATGTACAGCATAATGTCACACATCAGACATTATGTGCATATATAAAATTACACATCAACAACTTTCTGAGTTGTGGCAGAAAGCAACAGTTTCCCACGCTTCCCTTGGCAGACATGCATAGAGTTGGTGCAGTCTTCAAGATCTACTGTCATGAGCAGAACTCTGAGAATAAAATTCCTTAAAATACCACACTTGCTTACAAAATACACGAACGTTTTACAAACATTTTGAGATATTTCCTCTTACTTTTGCATAAAATAATGATAGTTTACAGATTGATAAAGAAAGAATGTTTCTTCACGTTATGCTGTACCGCAAACAATGCCGTCTCACTGCACGCTGTGTGCTGTCACAACTCGGCAGAAGTACGATGCACTTCCGGGTTTGGTGAGAAGCAGTGCGTACGAAATAAGTGTTACGTGCATCATGAGACTGAGGTGTATGACATAGTAGAAATGTGGCGTCACTTTATTATTCCAATGGTCATTACATGGCCAAATCCAACATACACAAATATTAAACCATCTCTCTCAAATAATTGTACAATAATTCTAAGGCAGGGACGAGTCCAAATTTACCACCCGGGGACCAACCCCACTATTACCCGACCTGTAGGTCTCAAGAGATACAAAATGTCTGATGGGGATTTTTTTTACCACGGCACTTGCAAAACGTATTTAGACACATGAATTAAACGATCTGGTCATGCATACACTGAAGTTGACTTAAGGAGGGTGTGTGTGTGTGTGTGTGTGTGTGTGTGTGTGTGTGTGTGTGTGTGTGTGTGTGTGTGTGTGTGTGTGTGGAACAGCTTCATCGTCGTGAAAAGACACCCCTTCAGTACCTGGATGCAGTTGGTCCACTGATGATAAACAAGTGAAAATGACTGATAATCATAAATGACAATGAAATAACATTTGAATAAAAAAATTGTGAACTCTACCCAGCTTTCCTTCTTGTTACATGGGTGATACCATTTTACTAAAGGGTACAGGGTACTAAATACTGATGCAACCAGCCATAACGAGTGTTGTTTTAACAGGTCTGCGTTTTGGCAGGTCTACGTTTTGGGAGGATACCCCTCAAAATGGTGTCAACGTGTCGTTGGCTATGACGCGAATGCGCTGTATTTGTGGGCCATTGATCAGCCTATGCCAACCGGTCCCTTCGTGCGTCGGAAAGCCGAGAAATCTTTTCGACCCGAGTTAAAGGACAGGTATGCATCCATGGTTGACTGGATGGATTGGTTGAGGGACAAGGAAGGGTGGGACATTCGGCATAAATTAAACTGGGAACGGGAAAAACGAGTGGGGCCATACTTGGTTGATGGCTTCATTTCAAACTCTAAAACAGTATTCGAATTCAATGGGTGTTATTTTCACGGGCACGTGTGTCATCTTACGGAAAAGGCGCGTCGCGATGAAAATAACCTTAAACGTTTACAAAGACGTTATGAGAGAACAGCTTCGCCTGGGGACTATATCCGTAGTTTAGGTTACGACCTCGTAAAAATGTGGGAATGCGACTTTCGCGCCGAGTGTCGCAGCAACCCTCAACTCGCCCTGTACGTCAGAGCAAGACGCCCTAGTTTTTATCAAAAGAACAAAGGTCGTGTGACGGAACGGGAGATTTTAAGGGCGGTTGAAACGGGGGAGCTGTTCGGTATGGTGGAAGTGGATATTCATACTCCAGACCACTGGACACCCGGACAGAACCCCCGCAGCACTCGTCTCCCCCCGCAGGAATATTTCGAGGAGATGACTCCCTTATTTTGCAACGCGGAAGTTCCCTTCGATGTTATCGGACAACATATGCAACAGTACATCAGGGAGAACGACTTGAGTAAGAACCCTCGTCGGATGTTTGTCGGCGGGTTAAGAGCGCGTAAAATCCTAAACGCCACACCATTGCTGCAATGGTATTTGCAGCACGGCATGGTGTCGACCGCGTGTTCCAAGTCGTAGAGTACACCCAGAACCCTGCTTTCGCGAGTTTGTTCAGGATGTGTGTACGGCCGGAAGAGAAGCCGACAGCGACCCTACCAAGGCCATTCGCGGAGATACGGCTAAACTGACCGGAAATTCAGCGTACGGCTCAGTCTTGATTAATAAAGAAAAACATCAAACCGTCTCGTACGTGCGAGGTCAGACTGCGGCTAGCGACCAAGTCAATGTTCCTCAGTTTCGAAAATTAACGGAACTAGATGGGGAGTATTTCGAGGTGGAGAAAGCTAAAAAGGTGCTTTGCCTCGATACTCCGGTACAGCTGGGGTATTTCATTTTGCAGTATGCTTCATGGATGTATTCGTAGATCGTAGTGACTTTGAATACAGCGAAATGGACACCGACTCTGCTTACATGGCCCTGAGTGGAAAGTGTTTAACAGATGTTGTCCGACCCAGCATGAAGGCGACTTACCACAATCAATTAAAAGGGTTCTGCGGATTCCCCGAAGAGGAGTTTGGTGACAGCACACGCTGGTTTCTGCGCACTTGCTGTTGCTCGGATGGTCTTCACGACAAACGGACGCCGGGTTTGTTTAAACTGGAGTATGAAGGCGAGGAAATGATTGGACTCTGTAGCAAAACGTATGTGGTGTCAGAGTCCAGTCTCAATCGGATTTCAAAACCCGCATCAAACTCGACTGGTCAGACAGCACAACGTCTTCTTCGTCAGGGAGAACACCATGTGGTCTTACCAACAAAGGCGAGAGGGGTTGAGCTACCTTTACTGTAAGCGCCGAGTGTTAGCCGATGGCATTCACACTGCACCACTAGACATCGAACTATATCCCTGGCCTCAACGCGACGACAAAATGGATGACACTGACTCATTTTAAATTGGATAATTAGAAAATTTGGCTGAAAATTAATCTCCGGGCTCGTTCCATCCACTCAAAACCAACCCCATTCTGTATGTATATAGACTGAATAATGTATTGCTATAATCTGTGATATCTGTACATATGTTAACTATTTATTTATGCAATCTGTGACATGTGTAATGTTTGAACACAAAATCAACCCCATGCTTATAGATGTATATAGACTGAATATGTACAAAATGTATTGAAACGAACACCTTGTAATATAGTCTCGACTGAATGATGCCATTTGCGATGAAGAATGTGTGAATAAAACGTGCTAAACTTTTCTCTGTGATTTTTTCTGATTGAGATGGATATATGGAGTCAAAAATAATATATTTTTCTTATACAAATTTCAAAATGCATCCATCTTCGTGTAGTGAATATGAGAGAATATGTTGTGTTCTTTAAAATAGACCTGATAAAGTGTTATGATTAATAGAAATTAATTGATATTTGTGTTCAATATAACTTAACAAACCATTGATCATAATATGGAAGAAAAGTTTAAATAGGCTTGTAATTTTAATAGAATGTGTTGACTATATTGTCATCGTAAAATTCTCACCTTAAAATCACATTTGTAACATTGAAATATACTGAACCAAATTAAAAACCTCACAATCCTAAAATTTTAACATTTTGACCAGTTATCATTGTGGGCCCTTATTGTGTATTTAAATAGTAATGGCCACGTATTGTCTTCAGATAACACCCGTTTTTGTGCAGGTGAATCGATCAAAATCGTGTGCACAGCACTATCGTGGCAAAAGTGTTTTTTCACGTGCAACTGGTCATGTAGCCATAAATCCGCACGTGTTTTCAGGCATACTTG